ACTGAAACTACCATCTATTAGTTATGGCCAGTAACTCACTGGTTGTTTGACACTTTTTTTTTTCCAGGGATGGTTAGAGACGACAATGGAGGCAAGAGGCAGATAAATTATATTAATAGATTGCAGGCACACAGTTGTTGTGCGACGTGTCCTTTTGCATTAACAGAGGGACATAACTCAGTTAAAAGCACATACATGTCAGTCAAGCAGTTTTTGGTAGTGTTTGTCTTTGAGCAGTTGGAGAGCCGCGCAGGGTCTGCAGGTTCTTGGTCTGAGTTCTGCATCACAGGTTTCACTTTCATTCTGGATTTACTGGCAAAGTAAGATGAAGTTGAGTCCTTCTTACTCCTTAGTCAAGATCTGAGACCATTTCCTTTTTCAGGAAGAATCAATATACATAAAATAAAGGAACTTTGAACATATCTAGTCCTTCATCTGTTGTGTTTGAACATAACACTGCTTTTTTCTCCACCCAACCACGTGTCCTTTTCTTCCTTTTCATATTAAAAAGCTTCCTTCTCCAGCAGGTGCAAACATGGACATTTTACTTATTTCATATCTTGTGCCACAGATATGTCGTCCTACCACAGGCCATGCTGTGGGATAGCTGGTAATTAGTCAAAACAAAAGAGCTCCTAGATCATGGCCTGATTCCATTAATAGTCAGGTGGTGGGGAGTTCTGATTCCAGAGTTTCTTTGTCTCTCTCTGTTGATTTTCCCATTTAAAGTGCCTTACAACATTTATCTCTTCCCTTAAAACAACATTTAATTTAGGGCCTCCCCCGTGGCGCAGCGGTTGAGTGCTGGGTTGCGAAGCTGCCCGCAGCCTCTGCGGCGCCGGTTCGTAACCCGGCTGCTCCCCAGCCACCAGAGGAGGGTCCCACATGGCGCGCAGACCTCTCCTGCCGCCCGCTGCTCCCCTCAGCAGTGTACTTTGGTCCTTCTGCCTGCTCTGCTCCCTGCTCTGGCTCTGGTGAATTCTCTCACCCTCCCACGCTTCTGACTGTACCCAGTGCTTGTATAAATAAATAAATAAATCTAAAAAAAAAAACAAAAAAAAAACCAACATTTAATTTAATACAAATCTCAGTTTATATCTTGAGAAAGGAGTATAGCTGCATTGGACCACTTTGAGAGTCTTATTTTCTCTTTTCTATTGAATATCTGGCCCCTCGTGTGCTGTTCTTTTTTTTTTTTTTAAGATTTATTCACCTATGCATACAAGAGCTGGGGTGCAGGCCAGAGATGCAGGGAGGCGAGAGGTTTCACCAGAGACAGAGCGGGGAGCTGAACAGGCAGACTGACCAAAATACACTGCTGAGGGGAACAGCGGGCGAGCCAGGAGAGGTCTGCTTCACCATGTGGGCTGCTCCCTGGCTGGCCGGGGATCGAACTCATGCTGCAAAGGCTGCGGATTGCTTCATAGTGCGGTGCTTAACCCCTTGTGCCACCAGGGAGGCCCTCCTGTGCTCTTCCTTATTAAATCTTGTTAGTAGAGCCTCATTCAGCGGTGAGAAGTATCTAAAGCAGAAGCGGTTATGCTATTATGCTTCACTTAACGCAGGGAGGCATTTCAGTAAATTAAAATGGTTAGGTGGCGAATCCTTATAGTGAATTGAATTTATGTTCTGTACTTTGAGTAATTATTTCATATGGCTTCATACTGTTAGATTTTGTTGGCACTGCACGTTAAAAAATTACCATAGGGAGGGCCTCCCTGGTGGCGCAGGGGTTGAGCGCTGGGTTGCGAGGCTGCCCACAGCCTCTGCAGTGCCGGTTGGATCCCCGACTGCTCCCGGGCCACCGGAGGAGGGTCCCACATGGCGCGCAGACCTCTCCTGCCGCCCGCTGCTCCCCTCAGCAGTGTGCTTCGGTCCTTCTGCCTGCTCTGCTCCCCGCTCTGGCTCTGGTGAATTCTCTCACCCTCCCCCACTTCTGACTGTACCCAGTGCTTGTGTAAATAAATAAATAAAAATAAATATTTAAAAAAAAAATTACCATAGGGAATAGTTTCAAACATAGTAAATTATTTGGGGGCAAACATTTTTCCTGATTACTTTTCTACCTAGAAGCTTATAACTTAGAAGAAAAGCCATAAAGAATGAGGAGGCTCTGGGGTAATAGAGTATAAGCCCTTTAAGTGGTAAAACCTTCAACTGCTTTGTAATCAAAGGGTCCTCATTTTGTGACTGAGTTACTTAGGTGAAGTGATAGATTTTATGTATAGTATGCCATTGCCAAGTGTTTATGGATTTTGCTGGAAAAGTATAGAGCAGAAGCCTGATGTCTTAGTCAATGTCTAAAGCTTTGAATTCTAACTCCTTGGCTCAGTAACAAATACAATGCCAGCCTTATTTCCTCACCTATATAGTAAGGGTTATCAAACCAGCCTGAGTGGAAATGTGCAGGGTTGAGTGGGGCAGCAAATGAAAACATAGTGGAGTCAGTGAAAATTCCCTCTCCACTTTCCTCTTGCACCTTTCCTTTTAAACACGCTTATCTTTCATATTTGAATGTTAAAGCCATCACTAATCCTCTTGATGTGTGTGTTTCAGAAAGTGCATTGGTCAACATCCTTTCACAGTGCACAAGCATATTTTCTTTCACTTGGTAGCTGCTGTCTGCTGAGTCTAAGAGTCTTGCTTTTTTTATATTCTTGTGAGCATTTGCTCAAAAAAGTACCAAACTGTTAAGATTGCCCAGCATTTTACTGTTGCACCACGTGACCTTGTCACAGACTTTAAAGGTATTGTTTTGTGTCTTGAAGTAGCATGGTTTGCTTGTTGTCATGTGTTGGATAAGGGCTGCTGAACAATTGTTTGGCATCGTTATTAAGGTGCCACTTCGCTGAGAGGGCAGCAGGCAGCTGACGTTGGCGAGGTGTGAAGAAATTCTTGGCTGTCAGAAGAGCTGGAGCAGGGGTGGTGGGTTTTTGTAAACGCCAGATACATGGTCACTCCACCTTCTCTGCCCCTCCTCCTGTCTCACAGGGGCTTGGCATCCCATCCTGGAGAAAGCTGGTGCTTTTGGTTTGGGTGGAGGGAATGATCAGAGCACATGATGCTTGTTGCCAAAAGGAAGGTCTCACCTGTGCAATAGGTGCTGGGATCCTGGCACCTAGGGGGTGAGCAGTAAGTCAGGTATTGAAGAAATTTGTGCATGAATAGGTGATGTAAACTATAGCACTTGTTTGTATTTTTCATGTAGTCCAATAAGCATCATAGATAAGAAATTTCCTCTAAGGACTAGTTTCTCAATGAAGAATCTGCACAAGCCTTATGGACTCTTTTATCTAGAACACCTAGTGTTCTTAGGAGCTTGATTACATGATAGGTAAAAATACTGCATTTTTACCCTTCCCAGTTTATCTGCCTTCTGCTCTCAATGTGGATATTCACTTATTAACTGACTAAAATGTTCACTCCTTAGAGATGAGTGGATATTACACAATCTTTTCCTTTCTAAATTTTGTCTCATTTGTACTTGTCAATTTCAGTTTTCTTTCTTTTATTTCTAAATGTGAAATCTTCATTAATCCCTATGTGTGATTTGAGGGTGATCATCTAAATTAAATGAGAGCTGGAGATGAAAATTAAAACTACACAGCGTCCTGCTCCTAGTCATTTTTGTATTTACTTTTAGTTGATTTACCTGTGTTTCCTTGCACCCCATCTCTCCATTCTTACACACGTCCTCATGTATTTGGAGCACCCTAGGACTTTCTCATTCCTCCAATAGACACTCTTGAACTGGGCTCCTCCTCAGATGTAGGTGTGGATGCCAGAAATACAAATGAATAAGTTCAAGGACCATTTCTTAAAAGAAACTGCACTTCTTTTTCTTACACATTTTTAAATCATGTTTATTAGATTTTAATCTAACTGGCAATCAAAGGTGTCTCCCCTCTAGAATTATTGCTTAAAAAATGGTATCACTCATTTGGAATTTTATAACTTTGTAGGTCTTTGCCTGCAAAATGCAGATCCTCTTTTATGATTGGTCGTGATAAGCTGGACTCCAGGCAGGAGTCCTCTCTGCCACTGTACTTTGCCTTCCCCTGTATACTGCCTCCTGCTTCCGTGTCTCCTTTCTGGTTAACCGGTTTTCTCTCTCTTTCTTCCTTCCTTCCATCCATCCTTCCTTTCTTTTTCGTTCCTTTTTCACCCTCCCTTAAGCCCTCCCTCCTTTCCTTCTTTCCATTTCTGGATGAAAATTTGAAAACATCAAGACATCAAATTTACAAGATGAAAAGTTATCTGGAATCAGTGAAAGTATACTTCAAATAACACCCAGTTGCATTTAATGAAAATCACCTTTCATTCTTTAACTCTTCAAGATATCAAGAAATCTGCTTTACCTATTCCAGGTAGCAGGGTGTATGGATATGAGGTGGGGTCTGCACTAGGGCCAGAGTTCAAATGCTACTTAAACTCTTGTACTGTCAATTTTTTCATCTGTGAAATGATACCTTATAAAGTGTTTGGGAAGATTCAATAAGACAAATGTCTATAAGTCATATAATAATACTTCAAAAATACTTACTAGTCATTATAATTAAGTGGATTTGTAACTGGGTGGTTCCATTTTATTGTTTAGGTTTTTATGTTGCACTTTGATGAACTTAATGTCATCATGTGTTATGTAAAACCAATATATAATATATTATAATATATATTATATTAATACATAATATACTTTATTAATATGTCAATAAATCAGTGTTTATTAATATATAAAACCAAGAGAATATTAATATAAAATCTGTGCTGTCTTTGATCAGCTTGTTGAATATGACTTGTTGTTTAAAAAGACCCTGATATGTTAATTGGTTATTTTATTTATAGTTGTGCTTGTGTCTCAAAGTACAACTTAAAATGTAGCTTCTTTACTTTATTAATACAAAGCAGAAAATGAAAAAGAAAGGGAGAAAAAAAGCAAGTATAGTGACTTTGAAGGCAAAATTGATATACTACTATGACTTGACTCTTTTTCTCTTTAGATCTGTTAGAGAAATCACGAGTTGTTAAGCAGCCAAGGGGTGAAAGAAACTTCCATGTGTTCTATCAGCTGCTCTCTGGTGCCTCTGAAGAGCTCCTCAGTGAGTCCCTATTTCTGTGTTTTAATTTTAATGTCAGCGTTTTCCAATGCATTTTTTTGAAAAAGTGTCCTAAATGCTGTTCTCCCTTCTTAAATTTTTTGTGATTCTGGTTGAAGTAAAGAGTGTGGTGTGTTTGCTTCTCTCCACCACAGCATTCGTTTGATCCCTGTCCTAGTACCCAGCAGATCCTGTGCCCTGGATCTCAGATGTCCTACTGAAAGTACTGAATATGGGGGAGGAGCCAGTCATAATTCAGAGAATAAAATGGAGGAATACAATTACTGCACTTGGGACGGAGAAATGAGCAGGAAGCAGTAGCTGACTCCAATTGATATGAAAACAGATTGCTCTGTTTTCTGTTTATTTAAAAATAAAGGGAAGGCATTTGCAACTAATGCAAGGGATAAAAATCTGGCCTTTTGGATATTTAGAGAATTAATAAAAGTCCATAAAGATAGGATCCCATAGCTATGGATAGTCACCCACACTTGGGGAAAAAATCATTCATTAATAGTCATGTGTAAATTAAAACAGCACTGAAGTACTCACTACAGAGTAAAAGTTAGTTAAAGGGAAGGATAGAGCTGGCAGAGTTTTTAGGCACTATTCTACTTTAAGCTTGTGGGTGTCATCAAATGATCAGTCTCCCACCCAGGCACACCTTTTTTTTTTAATATATCCTAATGAACTAACTCAAAAGAGTCCAAAAAAACATTTTGTGTGAAGACATTTATCACTGCCCTGTATTTGATACAAACTAAAGAGGACCCAAATGTCTAGGAGAGGGAATCATGAGGCAAACATCATATGTTACAATGAAAAATGTAAGGCCCTTATACCCAGTAAGAATAAATGTAAAAAACAAAACCAGTTTGAGATATGTATAATGTTGGAAATGCTGGTATTAGAAAAATGCTATTATTGTTATTCGACCATCAATTTTTATTCTATTAATTTAAAACATAGATGAAAATATTATTATCTGAAGAACTAATGAATGAAGTAATAAAGATGAATAGATTTATTGAACTACCTTATCTTATGTGTGTGTGTGTGTGATTCAACAGATAAACTTAAACTTGAGCGGGATTTCAGCAGATATAACTACTTGAGTCTGGACTCTGCAAAAGTTAATGGTGTGGATGATGCAGCAAATTTCAGAACTGTTAGGGTAAGGTGTAATCTTTTATTACTCCAAAATGTAATAAATGTATTTATTATGTATAAATGTATTATTACTCAACTGGAATTAGTAACAGTTTCGGTTTTCTTAAATGTGTAAGTCATGTTTCCTAAGGTTTTAGAAGTTTACGAGAACTTACTGCATCTTTATGAGTTTGAGTTTTTACAACCTCAAAAGTCATACAATATTGCGCAGGTTATGTTTTACTGGAGCATGCAATTTTGTTATTTATCAAAAGAAGGTTTTTTATATTATCTTGTGGTTTGACTTGTTTTATGTTGTGTTTAAATTCCAAATATTTTCATAGCCATAGCTCAGTAGTTAATTTCAAAGTATGAAAACAATCCTAGGATCCTAAGTCAAAAATGCTAAAACTATTTTTGAGACAGAAAATCATGTTATCAAGTATTCAAAAATTTTATGTAAATCAGAATGACTGACATTTCCATGTTCATTAGAAAATTATTTAAAATAATATATGTTCTTTATCAAAATGGCCATCCTACCAAAAGCAATTTACAGATTCAATGGTATTCCAATAAAAATATCAATGATAGTCTTCAAAGAAATAGAATAAATATTGATGAAATTCATATGGAGCCACCAAAAACCCCAAATAGCCAAAGCTCTCCTAAAAAAAGGGAATGGAGGTATCACACTCCCAGACTTCTAACTATACTACAAAGCTATAATAATCAAAACTGCTTGGTACTGGAACAAGAGGAGACACATGGACCAATGGAACTGAATAGAAAATCCAGAAATAAACCCACAGATTTACAGTCAACTAATCTTTGACAAAGGAGCAAAGAATATGCAATGGAGCAAAGAAAGTTTGTTCAATAAATGGTGGTGGGAAAACTGGGTTGCTGCATGCAAAAGAATGAAGCTTGACTACTACCTCACACTTTGCACAATAACCAACTCAAAATGGATTAAAGAACTAGACATAAGACCTGAAACCATAAAATATATAGAAGGAAATATAGGCAAAACACTACATGACATACACCTCAGTAACATCTTTAAAGACACATCACCCAAAGCAGTGATAGTGAAGGCAAAGATAAACAGCTGGGACTACATCAAATTAAAGCGCTTCTGTACAGCAAAAGAGACAGCAACCAAAACAAAGAGACACTCCACCGACTGAGAGAAAATTTTTGCACACAACACTCGTGATAAAGGACTGATCACAAAAAAAACTTCTCCAAATGGCCAACAGGCATACGAAAAAAATGTTCAACATCACTTGTAATCAGGGAAATGCAAATGAGAACTACAATGAGATACCATCTTATACCAGTGAGAATGGCACATGTTAAAAAAACTAGCAACAACAAATGTTGGCGAGGATGTGGAGAAAAAGGAACTCTCCTGTACTGCTGGTGGGAGTGCAAACTGGTCTAACCACTATGGAAAGCTGTGTGGAGAGTCCTCAACCGTCCATATGATCCAGCAATTCCACTCCTAGGTATTTACCCAAAGGACACAGAAACATTAATTCAAAAGGGCACCTGCACCCCCTATGTTTATAGCAGCACTATTTACAATAGCTAAGCTATGGAAACAACCCAAATGCCCAAAAATAGATGACTGGATCAAGAAGATGTGGTACATATACACAATGGAATATTACTCAGCAGTCAAAAAGATAAACTCATGCAATTTGCAGCAATGTGGATGGAGCTAGAAGGGATCATGCTCAGCGAAATAAGCCAGAAAGAGAAAGAAAAATACCGGATGGTCTCACTCATAGCAGGATTTTAGAAAACCTAAATAAGGGGCCAGGAAAAAGACTAATTATAATAAAGTAAAAATCAAAATCAACAAGCAACTATAAACCAGAGACACACTATGGGGGGGGGAGTAGGATCAAAACAAGGGTGGGGGTGGGAATTGTATGGGGACTATAACCAAGATAAAAATGTATACATTATGCAAAAATGATGTAAAAAACATAAAATTAAAAAAATAATTAAAAAGTAAGATATCCCATAAAATGTCATTAACTAATTAGAACCATGTTTTAATTTACAATAGCTGTTGTTCTCTCTTTGTCAGTATTTAAAATATACACAGAGTATTAAAACTGAATCAATTGCATAATAATTTCTAGCAATGGAAAAAATTTAGAAAATGAGTGGCTTTCTCAATCACAAAAATGATCTGTAAAGAGAGAAAATTCAGCTACCACTGTATGTAGAAGAGGTTGATAAATTTTTTTTATGGAATAAGAGGAGAATAATACTGCATGAGATTATGAACATGCAAAATGGAGGCATGCGCAGACACAGCTTTCCTTCATCTGATTTACAAAAAGATAAAGCACACTGTTATCCAAAATCAATAGATTGCATAAAATAGATTCAAATAATGAAAAACTGGGTGTTTTTTAAAATTGTGTTTACCAAAAACCACTTTTGTTAGAAGTCCTAACATAATAAACATCATGTAAGAAGAAACCTAAATAAAATAAAATAATATGTGTTCTAATTTTATTTAGTACTCTGAAAATTACTCCTATTAGGACATGATAGTGTAATGGGGATTTACTTCCAAATGAGGCAACTGTGGTAGTTAGGAAGGAGGGTAGGCCAGATTAAAGATGAAATAAGACTGGCATCAGTTAATCTTTGAGGGTGAGTGAAAATGACCTAGGATTCTTTTCCTGTTTTCTGTAATTTTGTATATGTTTGTGCAAAACATATGAGAAAAACTTACATTATTCCCATTACTAGATAACTTAGTCACTAAAAATAAATCAGTAAAAAATAAAATAAGTTGCAGTAGTCTCAAAAAGAATAGAATATATCATTTTTTAAGAAAACTATGTAAATTCCTCATCTGGAAAGCCTGTTGATTCCTGGACATATTTTTAAGATCAGAGTTCAAGACTACTTCTGTTAAATTTCCTTGCCTGAAACATTGTTGGCACTCAAAAATTTATTACTGAACAAATGTTCCTTGTATATCACCTTGGCAAGCCACAATTTTTATGTAAAATAAACAAGGATTTTTTGGTAGGGATGGCAAATGCTTTTTGTTTGTTTAATTTTGTTCCTAGCAATGGGACCCTAGTATTAAAAAAGAGAAATGTATAATAGACTGAGCTGCTGTGGTTGAAGTGAAGCTGGGAACCCACAGCTCATCTCTCATCTTTTTCCTTCTACCCTCCCTTTGCATGCCGCCTTTTGCCATAGTGCTTGGGGTACCCTAGGGCTAAAATAAATATTAAAAAATAATAAAGAACTACAGAAAGAAAACACGAGCTTTTTTTTTTTTTTTTTTTACCCCCTCCCAGAATGCCATGCAGATTGTAGGTTTTATGGATCATGAAGCTGAATCTGTGTTGGAGGTGGTGGCAGCAGTGTTGAAACTGGGCAACATTGAGTTCAAGCCTGAATCTCGAGTGAATGGTTTAGATGAAAGCAAAATCAAAGATAAAAATGGTAAGTCAGTGGAAAATCAACTTTGTTTAGCAAGCTTTCTTTGAACGTCTGCCCAGACTTTAATCTCGAAAATAAAACTTTTTGGTTATTGTTAGTTTGAAAAAACTTTCTAGTGAAACTGAGCAGCTTAAGTTTTAAGTCTTTGGCTTATTTTACACTCTTCTGTTTGAATGTAATTTAAAAGAACACCCTAAGTCTTGACAGTGATTATTATCTCTTGTGTCTCCCCTCCCATAACAGAACTAAAAGAAATTTGTGAGTTGACTGGCATTGATCAGTCCGTTCTAGAACGAGCATTCAGTTTCCGAACAGTTGAGGCCAAACAAGAGAAGGTTTCAACTACCCTAAATGTGGCTCAGGTGGGTGAAACATAATGTCCAGAGGTGAGTTTTGAAAGTCTGTGGTCATTTTATATGTGAAAATATTTCATTTTGTAGACTGTCAACTGTCATACCGTATTCTAGGCATCATTGGGGTGGGAGGAAAAGGGGTGCAGCACAGCAGTGAGCTAAACAGGATGACCCTGCCCTCATGGAGTTTCATACTCTGGTAGGAGGAGAAGTCGGACAATGGTCAGTAGACTAACAAGTAAGTCTATATAGTAACCAGCAGGTGGTCAGTACTGCAGACAGAGGAATAATAGAGCAGAAAAGGAAGATCCCATCCAGGGGATGGGAAATGAGGGAGATGGAAAATGCCTGGAGAGTTTTGAGCCCACGTGGCATGATCTGCCTTGTATCTCAAAGGGTCCTTCTGGCCGCGATAGGGAGAGCCGAGTCAGATTTCAGGCAGCTGTGTGATACAGTACCACAGACCGGTGGCTTTAATGAAAAACATTTATTTCCCACAGTTTTAAAGGCTAGAGTCTGATGGTGCTCAGGGTCTTGGGGCAGGACCTCTTGCTGTATCTTCACGTAGCAGAGAGAGAAGAGGGGGAGAAACATGCTGTGGTGTCTTTTTGCCCTTATAAGGGTGCTTGTCCATCATGGGACTCCACTCTCATGGCTGCATCTAAGCCAAATTACCTAACAACCATATCTCCAAATCTATCACATTGGCAATTAGGGTTCAAAGTACTGGTTTTGAGGGGGACACAGCAATTCAGCTGATAGTGCAGGTGCTTCGAGGAGTTGTCTGCTAACCCAGAGAGGATGGTGGCTTGACTAGGTGATAGCAAAAGAATGAGAAACAGTGACATCTAGATGTATTTTGAAGGTAGGGATGACAGGATTTGCTGACGGCTTGATACACAGAATGAGAGAAAGGAGTCAAGGATGACTCCCAATATTTTTGGCCCACAAACCTGGAAAAACGATTTACTTATTTGGAGAAAACTGTGGGACAAGTCAGCTGTGGTCGGATGGCCATGGTGCCTCCCTGCCTTGCTTATTGTACCCTTTACAGTGAGGCCAGTGATGTCTTTCTAAGACACAAATTTGAGTTGCTACATCTTGTTTACTTTGATTCAACTTAAATGCATACTGAGTGAATGGATTCCTGAGTGTGTGAAAATGTGAAAATGAGTCTAACAGGCAGATACCAGAGTCTCTTTCAATGTAAGCCCTTTGCTCTATGACTTGGTCTTTTTATCACCAGTCAGTGCTGATCTGAGCTAGAATGAAATGACCAATTCAGGACTTGTCATACTCAGGTCTGCTTTGCCTTCTGTATTCTCATCCTTCTAAGCTGCCTTAAGCACCTGTGAGACAGAAGGATGGATTTCATTTTATGTTGCTCCTAACTTGTTTTTCCTACTAACCCAAGAATGTCATGTCTAGCTCTCTTTCAACATTGATTTCTTAATTTTGGTGAGCTGTTTTGACTATGGAAAATGTTGTGACTACATATAAGTAAATTTGCTTTGTAGCAATCCTGTTAGCTGTAGCTGTTGTGTCCTTCCTAAATCACTATTTCTGTCATCATATCTGTCCAGATTAATTTACTAATTCATTGTGATGGTGAGCACCTTACCTAATCAAGAAGTTTTACTGAGAGCTTGCTCAGCAAAAGTCCCCTTTGTAGAGCACAGTAGGGAGGTAAGGGATTAAGGAATACTTCATGGAGAATGGTTTCTGGGCCAGTCTTGAAGAACTTGTATTTATAAAGCATGTTTGAGGGGGCATTTCAAAAGAAAACGGTGAGAAGGTCATGTTTGGAGGACCTCAGGAAAAAGGTTGATCAAGCTTATCTATGATTTTGGATATTGAAGAGAATTCAAGCAATAGGTTGCAAAGGTTAGTGGAGTCTCTACAGAAATAGTTCTCAAACTTGAGTGTGTATCAGAATTTCCAGGAGGGCTTGTCAAAAATGGTTTGCAGGCCGCACCCGCACATTGATTCAGTAGACAGGAGACTTCAAGTAATTGTGTTGCTAACAAGTTCAGAAGTGCTGAGCTGCTGCTGCTGCTGCTGATTCAGGGGCCATGTTTTGAGAACCACTTTATACTGAATGCCACACTGAATTTAGCTGTTTTCAGTAACCAGAGTGGGGACTGATAAGTATATAATGATATGATGCAAAAAAACGTTACGTAAGAATGACCTTTTATACATACATATATGTGGATATATTTTGGTCTGGGTTTTTGTTGTGTTTTACTCTTGCTTTTTAATTATCCCCTACAAAAGCCAGGCCCAGTTGCCCAGTTGTGAATCACCTTGCATCACTGGGCAAAAGTTTTCCATATTCCTTCCACCTTTGGCATAAAAGAATTTGGCTTGATATGTGCTCAATTGTCAACTCTTTAGTTAAGCTTTTTTTTTGTTTCTGTTTGTTCCTACTGATCTTATTTCTTAGAAGGTTTTGATTCCAGTGAGAAGTGATTTATTACCTTTGTTTTTTATAGTTTCAATTCTTCAGCCCCATTATCATTTTTTATTGCCCCATGCCTCATTTTCCCCAAGGCATTTTAGATCTTTCCCCAGATATGATGACTCATATTGAAATAATGGAAACTCAAGACAGAGTTAGCATTCAGCCTCTACCACATACTCTCCTTGGCATCCACAGCCCCCTGTAATCCGACCCTACCAGCTTATCTTATTTTACTAAATACCATACTTATTTTTGCCTGGTGCCTTTGCTTCTGTTTGTCTTTCACCCCAGATGTCACTGCTTGTTCCTTCTGCTTGTCTGAATGGCCCATCTAGTTGCACTTCATCCAGAGGCTTTCTTGATCACATAGCCCCCCTGATTCTTCCCTCTCTCTGTGCTCCCTTTTCTGCTCCAAGTTGACCTGCCCTGTGCTCACCTCACTCAAGCCTCACTCATCTCCCTGCTGTACTGTGTGCCCGCATAGGGTGGACCCTGAGTCCATGGGTCTCTGTGTCTCCACCTTGGCTGACATACTGCTCTGACCTTGCTTGACCCCAATCATCTCTGAGGCAGATTCCTTAATGGGATTCAAAGTACAGTGAGCATTTTTCATTGAATCTGTGATGGTGAATGAGTGTGCTTGGTGTCTTCTCATTTCTACACTTTACAGTGATCCTTAAAAGGGAATAAGTCTTCCTTCCCTTACTTAGGAAGATATTGTTATGGAGATTAGCTGGCCTGAATCAAACTGAAACCAGAGGTGGTAAATTGGCAGCCCCTGGGGCCAGATATAGCTCAGTAGGCACATTTTATTGGATGAAAGAGTAGTGTTTTAGTTTGTTTTTTTGGCTTTCTTTGTAAATTTTGAATTTGAGTGCCCTTAACCTGAAATGCTTTCCTCCAGCCCCTGAAGATCTCATTACTTCCCTTTTCTTTCTACCATGCAATCCCTGGAAGCATTTAAGTTTAAGACTCCCTGGAATATTTTTTTGAAGGAAGCAAAGAATAATAATACTGCCTTTGATTATATTTTAAAAAATATTGAGAGATTTAACCAGAGTAAGTTGTCCCCATTAATTCAGTTACATATTGAAGTGGTGGCTTGTTGGAAGTGATAGCATGCGACAAAAAAGCTGGATATTACAATGAAAAAGGATCTATTTGTAAATAAGATTATGTGGTGTCTTGAGATAACTTGACTTTCAAGAAGACAAGGGGAAAAGGACTGAGAAAGAATCATATAGGAGAGAATTATTAGGCCCATGAGGTAGTAGTAGAGGAAAAAAGGAAAAGTAATAGTATAAATATAGCCAGACTCTTTTCTAGGCAGTGAAATTATCTATCTTAAAAAAGTGAAAACAAGAAGGTAGGCTGTTGAGAAAGGGGCACACATTTAAAGCCAGACTTTTTTGTTTTAGAAAGATTTTTTAGAAAGATTTATTTGTTTATGCATACAAGAGCTGGGGTATAGGCCAGTTATGCGGGGAGTGAAAGGATTCACCAGAGACAGAGTGGGGAACAGAACAGGCAGATGGTCCGAAGTACACTGCTGAGGGGACCAGCGGGTGAGACAGGAGAGGTCTGTTACACCATGTGGGTTTCTCCCTGGCCCAGGATAGAACTGTAGAGGCTGGGAATTGTTTCATAGTGCGGTGCTTAACCCCTTGTGCCACCAGGCATTTTAAATGCATGTTTAAAATGTTTTAGCATTTTAAATGTGTTTCTCACCTGCCACTTCTGCTATGGAATTATAACCCACCCCTTGTTTTTTAACACAGCATTATACAGTTGGGCTTTATTTATTTAATTTTTTAAGACTATCCAACTTCTAGGTGGATAGTCTTCCTGTGATTGGATTAGCTGCCTGAGACAGGGAGAAAGGTTTGAGGTTAGCACAGTACTATCAGGTGAAGGATCAAGGTGCAGCTGCAATATGTTACATGTCATTTGGGAAGACTTTCCCATGTGGTCTAATGAGTGGTATTCTTTAGAAAATAGAAATGTAGCGGCTTGCTTTTTCACAGTAAGACCCAACTTTCACTTTGTGTGGCCAGTGTGTTAAAAGCAGCAGCAAAACCTCTAGCTTCTTTCTCTCATGAGGCCTACTCCTTCCTAGATTGCTGACAGGTTCTTCTTTATGAACACTGGTGTTACATGTCTCCTGTGTACTTGGTTCTTCCACTCTCTGTTCCCAGAATATTTAAAGACTGTTAGGTTCTTCCAAGCAAACGTAACTTTCTCAAACCTTTGGATTCTATGGCAAGGTCATAGAAATATGTGTGTCTTCTGCTTTTTCAAGTAGCTCTAACAGCTTTCAAATAAAGAAGCAAATGAAAATAGTTTCATTTTTATTATACAACATATTGTTACAATGCTCATTGATTATGGGAAATTTTAAAAAATATTCAAAATATTGAATGAAGCCATTTTAATGTATTTCTTTATGGGTAGAGCTTTAAGAAATAGTTGACAATTTCTTATTTTCACAAAATGCATAAACATTTTTTTATTTCATTACCTAATTATCATAACAATCTTTCTGTGATGACTGTAGAACTTCTCTTTGATGGGTATTTGTTTTACTGTTGCCTTATTGTTCAACTTCTAAATTACCTCTGATTTTTCTTTGTTCTATAACATTGAGATGAGTATCTTTGTGGGGAAAACTTTTATAGTATTTAGAATTAGTTTCCTGGGATGTAAAAAAATATAATATCTGGATATAAACAATTTGCCAGATTCTCTTAACACGTTGGCTGTTCATCCAGAGTATAATAAAAACTGGCTTGGGAAGGAAATTTGAAATAAAAGAGCTTTAAATATTTTTTAAAACATCTTCATTCTATGGGAATTAAGCATTGTGGTAAAAGTGAGTATTAAGTTTTTCGTTTTCTTTTTCTTTTTAATAGGCTTATTATGCCCGGGATGCTCTGGCTAAAAACCTCTACAGCAGGCTGTTTTCATGGTTGGTGAATCGAATCAATGAAAGCATTAAGGTATAAACCAGTTGTAGCAAATGGTATTCAGCATATAAACATTGAATTGAAGATTATTTAATTTTATAATCAGATTATCGATGAGCACTTATAAAAGATTATTTGCTAAAAAGCATAGGATTGAGATCTATGAGGAATTCTGTTTTATTTGCCATGTGTTACTATGAGAAGTCTCAAGGGAACACCAAGTAGTCTCTGCAAAGTTACTTGAGTATCAATGTCCCAGGACCTGCTTGTGTCTCGTCCACTAATTAAGTTATACACAAGTGGCTAAAAAGGTCATTTGGCATCTCTAGCTACTAATACATTCTTCCGTAAAATGAGGCCTTGGACAAGGTGATATGAAAGATCTTACCAGTGATCTTTTTTAATATTAATAAGGACCATAAATGCCCTTTTTAAGTAGCACCTATAATTAAAAATTCTGAAAGATTCTATGCTAATATCCTATCTCACATACTCTTTTTTGTAGTATAGAAGAACTCGGTGGGCCAGAGATGTGGGGTGTAAGAGGATTCATCGGAGAAAGAGTAGGGAACAGAATAGGCAGAATTACTGAAATACACTGCTGAGGGGAACAGTGGGGCAAGACAGGAGAGGTCTGCTGTGCCATGTGGGTTAGCTCCCTGGCTGGGGTTGGAACTCAGGCCCTACCAATGATAGCACAGAGATATAACCCCTAGGCCACCGGGGAGGCAGCTTTCTCACACATTTAAAATAACCTAGACTGGGGCCTCTCTGGTGGCACAGGTGTTAAAGACTCAGAGCTCTGAACCTATTGCCAGCTACTGCGGCATGAGTTCAGTCCCTGATCAGGGAGCTACCCATATGGTGCAGCCAACCTCTCCTGTCTCACCGCTGCTCCCCTCAGCAGTATATTTCAGTAGATCTGGTTGTTGTGCTCACCACTCTGTCTCTGGTGAATCCTCCCCCACCCCACCCCACCTCTGGGCAACACCCCAATTCTTGTATGCATAAATAAAAATAAATTTTTTAAAAAAATAAATTAACCTAGATTTCAGTCATTCTCTTAGATAAGAAACACAGTTAACTTGTAATATGTACTTTGGTATGATTTTAGCTTTATATTTTATGCTGAAATTAATCTGTCAATTTAAAACTTCTTTAAAGGCACAGACAAAAGTGAGAAAGAAGGTCATGGGTGTTTTGGACATTTATGGCTTTGAGATTTTCGAGGTAAGCTTTTCCCTATTTTTTTTTTTTTTTGTATGATTTTTATGAATGTGAAACCACTGGAAATTATTTTGTGCACAAAATTTACTATAATTACTATAATTATAGTACTTTTGTATTTAATTTGGATCTACAAATCAGTTTTATACAAATGTAACAAAATGTGTGTGTGTGTGCGCGCGCACATACACTTTTAAATGTTGAGAACCATTATTTTAGAGCCAGTGGTGTTTAAAAGAATTTCTTGTAATGATACATAACTTTTGAATTTGCAAATTCAAAATTTTTATTGTGAAATTTCCAGCAATGGACATTATACCTGTGATCATTTGCTCACTGGTAGGTTGTTTGAAAAGAGAGGCAGACTGGTGTCTTAACAACTCCAGGAATGGGAGAGCTGGATGCTGGCCATGGTGACACCAGAGCTGGTCACTTCATCTCTGTGGGACTCAGGGGAGGGTTGGGATTAGATGGTTTGTTGGGTCTCATCCAGCTCAGATCTTACAATATGAGTTCTGCAGCCAAGATAAAATAATTTCTGCTGAAATTCATAATGACTATATTTAAAAATTTTTTGAAAACCCTGTGTATTACATATTAAATAGTTTATACTTGTGTTAGAATTTTCTGTTTACCCCCTTCCTAGCCTCAACATTTAGAAACTATTTTAAGGCTTTTCTAAGCACTTATTTTTACTTGTAGGAGTGGTATTTTAGTTTGGTTCAGGAAAATAATAAGATTGGGCTTCTCCTTTCTTAATTCTCTCCCAGTAATAATGATTTGTGAATTCCATTAAATAACCATACTATGCTCAGAATAACCACCCAGAGAATTTACTTATTCCAAATAATCAGTTTTCATAGGAAAAAAGCATCAGATCATTCCCCACAGCTAACCCAGCCCTTTATGCCAGAGGCCTTTTTCTTATAACATTTTTGTTAGAGCCTTCTCCCTGCTTGATCATTTTCCAGATTTAATAGCTAGTGGTAAACAATTATTGTTGAGGGCTGACTGTATGCAGGCATTGTGATAAGTGCTGTGTATTACCTGATTTAATTTTCACAACAACCTTATGAATTAGCTGCTATTGTTATTACTGTTTTGCAGAAGAGTAAAACAGAAGAGGTTCTGAAAGTTAAATAACTCCCTTAAGATTACAAGGTCAATTAGTAATAAACTCATGACCCAAACCTCAGACTCTTAATAAATAAAAGAGATCTCTTGCAGGCCTTTTCCCTCACTTTCCCCCCAAACTTAAAGGCTCCCTAGTACCTAGAAATTAGGGGAAAATGTGTGTTAAGTTTCTGGTGCACCCTGTACCGTGGTCATCACTGGCCAGTGTTAGGAGTCTTCCCAGTGCTCCGTGTTCTGGTGGCAGAGTTTGGGACATGTGCTGGTCCCTGTCCCCTCACTGCGTTTTGAACACTGCTCTTCAGCACAGTGCTGCTCTGATTGCTGTCTCTGTAGCAGACTTTGCAAAGATCACTTCTGGTCTTTTGATGAAAGGGAATAATTTGAGGTTTGTGAATGAGAAGAGTTGCTTGAGTACATTCAGAAATCATGATGCCAGAATGAGTTTCTTTCTAGCAGAACCTCAGCTTACTGTCACAAAGTGCAGCATGACACGTTGCTGATCCAAATTTAGTTACATGGAAAGGGCAAAAGCAGAGATGCCACTTGAAAGAAGATAAAAATTACATTTAATTATATTTCTAAAAATTAGTCGCTCTGATTTTTAAAATATTTTTACTCAGAAAAAAGGTTTATTGATACTTAAGCCAGTGGAGAGCTTCCTAATGGCATATTACAATGGATGGAAACTTTTTTTTAATAATTATGGGGTTATGCTAGGGTATGGGCTCAGCTCCATCTTTCCTCATCCTGAGATCTAATTAACTATGGAAAAGAAATCCTCATAGCACTCTGGAGCATTTTGACCACATAAATGAGGGAGTCATTTTCTCGAGCAGTTTTTGAATACCTACTATGAGCCAGATTCCAGTGGTAAATACGGCAAAGATGTTCTTTTCCTGCATGGAGCTTACTGATTTGGCCCTAAAATTGAGGGTCTGTTGTTGGCTAAGGACACAAGTCATTTGGTAGGAAATTCTAATCAGGAAACTGGATTGCTTTTTAAAAGTGTGTTTGCTACAGACCTAATCAGAACAGAACATGGATGTTCTGGATGGAAACATCCTGTGAGTTGGCACTGGGTAAAATACCCTTTAGCAATTCAGGAATATTTTTCACTTATGGTTAATTCAAGTTTCTCTCCAAGCCCGTATTTCCGCACATGGCTTATTTCCACAAGATCACCAATTTTCTCAACACTGTTACAACTATGGACTTTAAGAAAATTCCTGTGTATATTTCTAAGTGTTCGTCTTCTTTTCTTTAGAGGAAAATGTCATTTCATTTATGGTTTTCAAACTTAGCTTCACATTGGAATTACTTGATGTAGAAGATCCAAATGTCCAGGCTGTGGCCCAGATCAGTAAAACAGAATCTCTGGTTCGGGGGTAGATGGAGAATAGTAGCATTCTTAAAGCTTCCAGGTGATTCCATTGTGCAATCAAGGTTGAGACCAATTACTCTAGCAGATGTGAATCTCCAGCGGAGATTGTATTTTCTAAACAAATGTGGTGTTTTGTGTTTGACCTCTGCATGAAATGCCCTTGTAAAACATCCTGCCTCACCCACCATTGATCTTACATAAATCTAATCTGTGTGTGTATACCATGTTGAAAACCAAACAGGTCACATTTTTACTCCTTTTAAACAGAACTTTTAGACAAGACCAATCCAGCAATTCAGATGTCTATAGCAAATCTTATCATGACCATAAAATCTTAATGTTTCTAATTCTGTCTCATGACAACACTGGCAATTCCCATGAAAACCATTTTCAGCTGAGCTGGTGGAAACTTTTCATTCATTTTGGTCAGTGTCTATGCAGAAGAGGGAAACGGATGCATTAAACCATGGGACAATAACACATGAAATTGGCTGCAAAATATCCTGGTACCAGCTGGTTGAATAGGCCTGCCCTTTTGGCTCCATGTGATCTGATGGCCATTTGGAAAATAGATTAGTAAAACATTGATATCCAAAATAAGGTGAAGTGATTTTAAATTCATAGAGGAGAAAAGTCTAGATGTAAATCCTAGTAGAACATAAGTCTAATTTTTGCAAAGGAAGAGAATTATTGGCTGTTCTTATAATTGAAGACATTGCTTTTAATCTTAGAGAAATATTTATAGCCTCTCCATAAAATAACAAAGGGTGTTCTTTTAAGAAAAGTGAAATTAAACTTAAAACTCAGTTGATCAATCTGAATGGATTTTTTTTTTCCCCCTATGTACTTACTGATATTAAAGTTGGTAGGTAGCTTACTGGGGAAATCTAATTAATTATTTTTGTTCTGTAGACCAAAGCAGACAATAGTGCCTGAATGTTTCAGGTTTTATGCAACTGAGCTAGAGTTTCATATGGTAAAATGCTAGTTATTTTAAATAAGGCACTCCTTACTCAATTTGCCCTTTTGAACCTCATTGAAGAGGACCTCTGTCTAGTGGTGGTATGAACAAGCTAGATGCAATCATTATTCCACATAAAACTGTCTGACAGTTGGGCAGGAGTCGGTAGAACCTGCTAACTCTTCATTATTATAGGATTTGTTTTCTATATTATTTTAAAAAGAAAATTGATTCTGATTACATGCAAAACCTTCTAGTTGTTTGTCTCTAATGCTGTCCTTCTTTACCTTTCATTAAATTTTGTTCTGCGAATTAGAAATTTTGCAAGTTATTTTTAATGATTTGTGAAGTCCCTTTTCCCAAAAAACTTGACAGTGCTAATTAAGTTAAACTTAGATCTCAAGAAATGTGATTGCCTTCATTTTTTGGTTGTATTGATTGTTCTGGCAATGACACATTTTGGAGACTGTGGGATATGTTTGCTATAGATGCTCTGGTATAATTGGGCTGTTCTATTTTTAGTTTTGTTCTTTAAGCAGAAGAAGGTTGGAGAGTCAAACTTCTTTTCTTAAGCCATCTCTGGAACATTCTCTCTTACTACCTATTTGTGGTTGAAGGTTGGACACAAGACCTTACAGCTTGGGAAGGGTCTCTGTTGGGGAAAAGGAAGGTGTTTTTGGATCTGGCGGAATTTCTTTACTCTTGGTGGTCAACTGATTATCACAATTTCTGACTCTTTGGATGGATATGTCATAACATTTTATTTTCCCATTGGAAGCATTCCATTTTACCATTGGAAGCATTAGATTCTTAAGTGGTAGGACTTCAAGCAGGTTGTATGGTATATCATTATTTCCGTCAAATTGTTTTTGTCCTGAATTGCTCTCCCTTAGCAGACCACAGTTCAGACACCACGTGACAGTATTGGGGGCCTACACAATCAATATGAATTGATCAGGCATGTGTCTTGATCTAAGCTTTGTGCCAATCAGGAATATAACATGAATGGTAAGGAAGGTCTGTCATTTGCACCACTGAATAAATACCAATAAGTGCTTACTTTTAGAAGTTTATTGCAAATTAAGAACTGACTGCATTTTGTATAATCTGTCCCCTTTTGCACCAGAATGCAGTAAGTATGAAGTGTTTGCAGTGCTCTGTTGCATGCTCCTGTGTTAAGAGCTTCTCCAACTGTGTGAATTTTGGAGTAAATGGCCCTTGATAAACTGTGTGAAATATAGAAATCTCATACAGTAATATTTTGTTAATTGAGAGGAAAATTAACTCTAACTTATTCCTTAAGTTGTGTTGTAATTGTGACGCTTTGCCTTCAGTTTTCTAATCTGCTTGTGTGTATATCATAGTCCTGTTCTAGGAATGTCCTGCAAGCTGTTCATGGCCATGCGGTAGGCTCTGAGGACACTAGCTCTACCCTTCCTTCTCCTCAGTAGTTGCCATTTCAAGATTTCACATAGTTTTATTTAGATAGCTCCATGGGTATCCATCCATTAAGTAACAGAAAATATGTCACTTCATGAATTTGTGTTTTAAAATAAAAGCAACAAACCATAGATAGATAGGCGCAGATAAGCCATTAAAATTTTAATTTATAAGTTTTTCTTTTGTGATAGTGATATTATATGAGGATACATTTTTCCAAAGCAAGAAAACCAAACTTCCTCATATATGAAATGAGATTATAGTAACAAGTCATCTCTACCAGACTGACTTCAGTTTCTAATCAAATTCGTTAAGCTTTGAGGATTGGAGCACATGGTTTTTAAAAATTTATGGGAAAATGAGTATGGGGGATGCCCTTTGTATCTAAACCTGAACTTCTTGACAGTATGGAAAATAAGTGTGCACCCTTTAGGAAGAACCTTCAGGACTTTAAAAAAAAAAAAGCTATAACAACTTTTATCCTTGAACACATAAAACATAAAAAGATTGGTCAGTATTAGTGTGTCTGTGTCATTTATGGTTTTGAGTTAAATTTTCCTCTGATTAGTGAGTTCATCACTGCTGATTAGAAATACTTGGCTGACTTCCAGGAAAGATTGTGGTCAGATGCAACATCGTAAGTATGTAAAATTGCCCTTCGCAGGACCAAAGTTGATTTAGAAAAATCAGTTTTCAAAAAAACCTCAGTGACTGTTTTGCTTATGTCACGTAAGGAATGCTGAAGGCTAGTTGCTCTGTGTATTCACAGGGAGTGGGCAGCTTCACTTCCACCCTCACGCATGGACCCTTAGAGCTCATTTGGCCAGGACAGGCCACTCCAGTGGGACAAGAGTCAAGTTTATCAGTGATGGGTCACACTGCCCTGGCTCGCAATGTCATCATCTCTCTCTTCAAAGAGAGAGGGATAGAGATGAAAATAACGAGCTTTATTACTGGATCTGTCTCTTCCTAGACCATTTATTTCTTTGATGAAGTATGTTCATTCAACAGACTTGAACTTTGTGCCCAAATTATGTACAACACACTAAACCTTGCAGATGGTTTGGAAGTGGATTGGGCATGGATCTTTCCATCAGAGGTTAAAGTAGATAATGCTGATATAAAGGAGAAACTGCCAAGAATCTTGTGAGTGATATATGTGTGTGCCTTTTAAGAAAAGAGATTATTTCTAGCTAGGGAGATGATTTTGATGTGCTGATTCCCTTGAGTCTTCATTTAGTAGGTTCATCATTCATTCATTCTTCATTTATCAAATACATTAAGTACTTGGTAGATGCTAGGTACTGTGCAAATCATGGGGGTATATTAGTGAACAAAGAGATGTGGTTGATGCTCGCCTTGAGAATATAAGTGTAGTGAGCAGACAAATACAAAACTAACTGGTACATGTATGTGCACATACATGCATACATACAGACATACAGATACATATATGCATATACATATATGCATACATATAGCGTGAGATTTTAGAGGTACTGTATGTAAGAGTCAGAATACAGGATCTGATCTTGGGTGGGGGAATTAATAGCCAGGTCAGGAGGTTTTCTTGAGCTTCATAATTTTAGAGAATGGAAGGTTGAGAAGTTGTTCATAGAGATTGTGAAGCTCACTATTTCTTTTCTGATCCTTCAGGGGAAAATGCATATTTTTTTTCTTTTGTCACCACGTGTGGAGTGCTTCTCTGTCAACTAAAAATCTTCATCTTTCAAATACTACATAACTTGTGTATACTTCATGTATTCAACTTGGCTCATGAATCATTCCTCAAGTGCCTGTGATGTGCAAGCCTCTGTCCCAGGATCTGTGTGCTGGGCCATAGTGAAATCTACAAGATTGTGTGTCCTATCTTGTGGATTGTAATGTTAGAGTGCTGTTGATATAGGAGAGTTGATGGCATGGTTAATAAGACAATTTTCATTTTTCTCCATATAGGATAATAGCTTTGAGCAGTTCATTATTAATTATTGTAATGAAAAGCTGCAACAAATCTTCATTGAACTCACTCTTAAAGAAGAACAGGAGGAGTATATACGGGAGGTAATACTGAAATATTTTTTCACAATGTTCCTTTCTTACTAATATATATTACAGATTCTGATCGAAAAGATGATATAAATATAATCCTAAAATCTGTCTTATCTGAGTTTAACTGTATTGTATCTTTTAAGTTTTTGTTTGGTGTGGCATCAAAGCTAATTGAGCTTTTCTTTGTTGCTGTGTTGCTGGTGCCCAGAACCAACTCTGATACATAGTAGGTACTCAATAAATAGATAATGACCAACTCTAGTTCCACTGGATCCCAAGGCAGTGATGTAAGATAATTGTGTGTTAAGAGAATAGGCTGACATGAGTGGACAAATAATGGTGGTACTTCCATACTATGGAGTACAACTCAGCCATAAAAAGGAACAATTCATCCACATGATATCTCAAGCATATTATGCCAAGTGAGAGAAACCAGACTCAAAGACTACATTCTGCATTATTCTATTTGTATGTCCCTGTAGAAGAGGCTTGCCATTACAGGTCATAAGTGTGGCTGCAAAGGGGCAAACAAGGGAATTTAGGAGATTGAGTGTGCTGTTTTTTACATGACAGTATATATTGCCAAAACTTAAGAGAAATATATACCAAAGAAAGTATACATTGATATACTGTATGTGTGTATGTCATAGATATATCTGCAAAACAGTTTGTACATATATACATATATATATTTGAAAATATATTGAGACTGTTCAATCTGAGCATTAATTTTCTAAAACTTTATAATAAAAATAGGTAACATTTTTGAGTGCTTACAATATGCCAGGAATTGTATTAGTGCTATGTGCAAATTACTTAATGTAATTTAAAAATAATCAGAAAAGTAATGTTTGTAGAATCCCCTTTTGTTCTTAAGTGTAAAACACAAACTTGGTTTTTAAACTATTCATTAGCCAATGTTTTTCTAAATCTACAATTATTTCAAACAAATGAAAAGGAATATTTTGTTGTATCTAATTCTTGTTTCCTTTTAATTTAGTTGCTTTTATATTTTAGTAATGATATTACCTATTTTTCATTCTCTGTACTGGCACTTTAACGCATGCTGGATGCTGAACATCCTGTTTTAGTCTTTTAATGTAGATTTTTCTAATGTGATTGTTGTCCCCAGGGACTTAGTAAACTAATCCATTTACTCGAAAACTAAATATTTCATGGTTTTTGTTTTTTTTTTTGGAATGATCATTATGCTTTAGGAACTTTTCCTACTTGTCTGGCACCTTTTGGTAACATAAACATTCTAAAAGCAGATCCATTCTCTTCCTGTCTTCTCATCATAAAGAGAATGCTCAAACTTTGATCTGTAACTTAAAACAGTTTGTACAGATTGTCCAAAACACTTCTGAGAATATATAGGAAGACTCCTAACTTGCTGTATGAGTTAAATTTCTTCCTCTTAAGAAATATAATTGTTTACAGTTATGGGCAAGAGTCTAAGAAGATACAGAAACACTACATTTGGCCTCACAGATTTGGCTTTGTAGCCAGCATGGGAACCAGTGAATGTATCTTTTTGTACCTTTCCTTATGTTGAAAATACTTTGACTTAGCACTTGGTTATTTTTACACTTGAGATAGTTAACTGCCCTACAAAATGGGTTTGACTCTAAAATTAATTTTTTTCTTGTGATTACAAATTAAGAACAGAAAAATCTAGGTCTTAGCTTCTTGGGATCAAATTCTGAATATTTCCTTATAAACATTGTAAATATACACAAAGTAATATTGACCCAAGGGCTTGTTGAGTAAATGTTTGGCCCGGGGCCAGTGAAGTGCATGGGAAATTGCCACAGATGGGAGAGGAATGGGAGAGAGTCTCAGAATAGGTCAAGAGTGTTCAATTCACATCATGTCAGTGGTGGCCTGCTGTAGTAAGAAAGTTTGGGAACTGGAAGATGGTGTTTGCAGCACTGATTTTATAAAGGAAATTTTCAGAGAGGAAGTGAAATAAGGTCAAACAGGCAAAGTCTATCTTGTAGACAGTAATGTTGTGACATCATCATGTAGAATTCTATTATGTTCTGTCTTGTTTTTCAGGATATAGAATGGACACACATTGACTACTTCAATAATGCTATCATTTGTGACCTAATAGAAAATGTGAGTATTGGGTAGTTTTCTAGAGGATTTCTTAGTAATATAATTCATCATTATGAATTACTCACTGCCTTTCATGTTGAGCTTTGGTGTTTTCAGTATTTTAACACATTTCTTTAGGAAACTACAGAGTTTTGGAGACTTTATTATAGCCTTAAGGGATTGCACATAGTCCTTGAACACATACACAGACAGCTGGACGTTTTGATACTTAGCCAGTATCCCCATCTCATCCTGCTGCTGCCGTAGCTCGGCGCCCGTTCACGGTATTCACATGCCAAGACCTCTAGATCACCAGCCTATGGTGTGTGTTGGGAGGCTGGGTCCAATCCACAACTCCTTGGAATGTGAGCACTGATCAGAGGAGGCTCAAAGCACTCATAAAGATTTTTGCCAAATAAAAATATCTGTTTCGTTTCTAAAATTCTAGTGACCTCTTAACATCCTGTTCAGTGGTTATTATAAAAAGACAATTGTTGGCGAGGATATTCAGAAAAGGGAACCTTTGTGCACCTTTGGTAGAAACATAAATTGGTATAACTGCTGTGGAAAACACTGTGAAGTTCTCAGAGATTAAAACTAGAACAATCGTAATTCAGCAACCCCACTTGTTGGGTTTATATTTTAGAGGAAATGGAATCAGAATCAGGAGAGAAATTTCATTCCTGTGTTCACTGCAGCATTTCACAACAGGCAAGATATGGAAACAACCCAAGTGTCTGTCTAAGGGTGAAGGATAAAGAGGATGTGCGGAGTATTTTACCCACACACTGGAATATTGTTTAACCATGAGAAAGAAGAAAATCCTGCTGTTGACAATAACACAGAAAGACCTTAGGAGCGTTATGCTAAATGAAATAAGTCAGACAGAGATAGATGAATAGTATATGATAGAACAAGGAGAGTCTAAAAAAGCCAAATCCATAGAAATAAAGTAGAATGCAGTTGCCTGGGGGGTCAGGAAAGTGGGAAGTTGTTGGTCAAAAGGTACAAACTACCTCAAGTTAGATGGTTAATAAGTTCTGGGGATCTAATATACAGTGTAGAGACTAGAAATGAAAAGAAATGATAATTATGTGATGTCACGAAGGTGTTAACTAATGCCATGGTGGTCATCATGTTGTAATATATACATGTATCAAATCAACTTGTGTCACACCTTTGAGTTATGCAATATTAAACATCATTTGCCTCTCAGTAAATCTGGGAAAAAAATGAAAAAAAAATTAAAGACAGCAAAGACCATGCTTTTTGAGTAAGATAAAGGAGCTGAATTAAGTAGGACACCAGAAGTGACACTGCTGGTTCAGAGAATATATGCAGGAATTGTGCATGTGACTTCACAGAGGCCAAGGACCTGGGTGATCCAAGTATGAGCATTTGTGCATATGTCTGTGAAAACACAAAGGGAAAAATTGTTGGATAATTTTTAATATGCTTTCTGAGTCTAGGATTTTTGTTTTTGCATTGTATTCTGTAGTTTATTAGAAATAGACTGTCAGAAGACTGATTTCTGTGTAAAAGTGTAAAAGCCTAGACACTATTAGGGTTGTTTTTTTTTTATATCTATATGCTTAGGATTACTCACCCCTCTGGCCTTGCTAACAAAGTAATTTGGGAAACATACAAACTTAATCATCCTACAGTCATTTCTATAGTGAGTGGTGGCTGAATGCTGTTTCAGGAATACAGTCACAGGCTTTAATTGTTTAGCAAATCACTCACTATTCCTCTTAACAAGTCCTTTTAGAAATTATGTAATTAGCCATGATCTTTTATCTTAGGATTCAAGATATTCCTATGACTTTGGTTAAATTTAACATTGAAAACAATAAGGCAACTTAAAAAAATCAACTTTGTTTTGAAGAATTTGAACAGTGTTCCAGTGTAAACATTAATATTCCCTCTAAGCAATTCAAAACTATAGTCTAAAATCTAGAAAATCAGTGGATTTCCTGAAAATTTTCCCTGGTAAATTATTTGACCAGTCTTGTGCTGTGGAAACTTTAACTTTCAGAATAGAATTCACAATTTGCACATTTTCCTTTATAAACATTGCACTTAATTATTTCCCTTTTAGAAGGGAAAATTTTTACAGAGGGGATGGTGTGGGAAGCAGTGGTAATATTCTTAATTTAACTAGATTATCTCAGCCCAAAATCCCCTTGTATATATGACTGAAGAAACTCATGTTCACTCAGGAGCCTAGTTGCATAAAGGAAATATTTCCTTCCAGCATCACTTAACAATGATGTTTATTCTGGGGCTGTTATGAACACACTTGATTCCTGAGAGTCCACACTTCCCCCAGGTTTTGTGTAGAATGAGTAAATACTGGGCAGAGGATGTCACAGCCTAGTGAGGAGAGGGGAGAGGAACAGGGACTTGCCTTGTTGGAAATGGACAGGGCTGGTGGCCAGAAGAGTGGGTTGTTCTCTTTGGAGCCCTTGCACGTGGGTCTCTGGGGGCAGCTGAAGAAACAACCTCCTTAATTCAGCTCAGTGGAAGATTGATTATTTTTGATTCAGATTAACTGGAATGACTGCTCTTTGGATAAATGTAATCATGGGGGCTGAATATATAAGAAATAAATTCTCACTCATGTTTAACATCCATTGCAAAAATGTTCATGGAAGGAGAATTTTATTCTAAACAGATACTCTTGAAACACAGCTTGATTGCACTGATCATTAAAAGCAGCATCCCTAATCACATCATTTTTTTCTAGAAAGCAAAAATTTTTTGAACAGATGAACAATTTGGAAATGTCTGGAACCAATTTAGTTCTCAAACAACATATCAAATAATGGCCTTAGAAGACTGCTTTGTGCTTTATGACCACAGGTTACAGTTACTGTTGTCACATTAGTTTCTGTCTTCTACATTTATTTTTTGATCTTTTTGAGATCTCACTTATCCTTTTGGAACAATATGAATTTTTGTCATCAGCCAGCTGTGGTGGTTGAGGTGACCCTTAAAAGTCTGTGGGAGGAGCAGAGTAGGGGTAAAGGGAGACCCATACAGCCCCCCTGCCCCCCCTACACACACATGCGCACGCGCGCTCCCACACACCTGGCACACTTTGGAAGAGGGCTGGCTCTTTGTTATTTGTCTTGATTTTCTGCTTTTTGTTGTAACGGAACAGAATTTTCTTGTGACTAAGTTGATTGTGTTTGCTATTATAATTAGGAATAATTATTAAAACAATGCCATGAGGAAGGAAGGAAACATTTTTATTTCCTTTCTCCCAGAACACAAATGGAATTCTAGCCATGCTGGATGAAGAATGCCTGAGACCCGGCACGGTCACGGATGAGACCTTCTTAGAAAAGCTGAATCAAGTCTGCGCCACCCACCAGCACTTTGAAAGCAGGATGAGCAAGTGCTCACGGTTCCTCAACGACACGTCCCTGCCTCACAGCTGTTTCAGAATTCAGCATTATGCTGGCAAGGTATGGGGGACCTGTGAGCTCCCAGTTGGGCTATAGGGTTTTCCTCAGAGATGGGCGTTCTGACCAGCACCAACTTGTGAGGACAAAGTGAACTGCTCAAATAGTGGAGTCAATAAAAGTTTAATAGAAGTAAAATCTGGACTGGTTGAGCAAAATCTTATTAATACTGAGAGCAGTAGACTTAATGAAAGGGTTCCAATTTATTAAAAAATAGATTTCATTCTTTTCAAGCTCAAACTAGCCCATTAAAAAAAGATCTATCAATCCTAAGAAAGGATTTGCCAGTGAAAATTAGGAGTCACTGAAAACTTACAAAAGGTTTTAAAAGCACAAAAGGCTTTAAAAGCACGAACCATTCAGAAAAATACTTAGATTGAGATTTTGAAAAAATAGAAATATCAGCTCTTTTTAAAAAAACACTTATTCAGTTGCCTGATATTTGGAGACTTAAGTTTATGTTATTTAATAAATATTAATGTAAACAATTTTAACAGTAGATTAATTTTTAAAATCCTAAACAGTGGTTGATTAAACACCTCCTTCCTTATAAAGTGGCAGACTTGAAAAAGAGAAAATAATTAGGTATTTAGTAAAAATTGAGTCTGGAGTATGTGAATTATCTTTAATTTCTAAGTGTTGGAACTTGGTGCTTTATTTTTTTTCATTAGCCTATTAATTAGAAGGTAATTTTCTGGTCAATTTTCCTGCTGCTTTATTAGTATGTCTATGAAAAACATTGGTGTTATCTCTACTTTTTGTTCTCCTGCCTTCTTTTAAACAGACTAGAACTGGCACATGTGAGTGAAAAAATAAAAGTAAAACCTCAAAAATATGCTCAAACACCAAAAAAAACTAAAATCCTTTGAAAATGTTATGATAACATTTTTAGAGTTTATTCTTGCAAATCCTGAAGGGTAATAGAATTTATTTTGAACCCTTCTGTGATTTAGACAGATGGAATTTAAACTTGCAGGCTAATTTGGTATTAGAGTATGACTAATGTGTCGGGGATCTTTTGAAGAGACTGAAATATAGAGAGTCTTGAAACATTTTTAACAGTTCTTTGACATTCTAGTGTGCATTATGTCACATATGCTGCTCCTAGGTGCTGTACCAGGTGGAAGGATTTGTTGACAAAAACAATGACCTTCTCTATCGAGACCTGTCCCAAGCCATGTGGAAGGCCGGCCACACCCTCATCAAGTCTTTGTTCCCCGAAGGGAACCCTGCCAAGATCAACCTGAAAAGGCCTCCTACAGCGGGCTCACAGTTCAAGGCCTCTGTGGCCACTCTGATGAAAAACCTACAGACCAAGAATCCAAACTACATTAGGTATTTCTGCACCTCAACTACTTTGACAGTTCAAATGTGAAGGGACTCGTAAGGAAGAATATATTCCTGTTTTCTTAAATCTAAGTGTAGCTGAAACAGAAGAAAGCTAAAGAACTTAAAGGTCAAATAATGTGGTATCATAGGTTTGCTTAAAAAATACTTCACTGCCCCTTCCTTCCCCACAATAAGGAATTTTAAAAAGGTGGGGAAACATGGTAGGGAATGGGAATAAATAATGACATTGGGTTGTTGGCACTTAGGGGTTCTCTCTCTCTCTCTCTCTCTCTCTCTCTCTCTCTCAGTGTGTGTGTGTGTGTGTATGTGTGTGTGTGTATATATATATATTTATATAAGTCATAAGAAGCAAATGTAAAGTTTTTTTCTTGGTAAGAGTTTTGCATAAAACTTGGATTCATTTTAGATTTTTGTTTTGTTAACTTAGAACTCAGAGTTGAAGCAGCGGTGGTGTTAGGAATTTGGTGCCTCTTTCTTTCCTGTGCAAGTTACAGGCCTGGAGAAAGTAATGATTCCTAAAAGCAATGTGTATTTATTTCAAAGCAATAGAAAGAATCCCTTAAAAGAATTTTTTTTTGTGCCTTGTTTCCAGGGCATCTTAAACCTAGCTATCTTAAGATTCAGTGAGGACCAGTCAGCAGTCTCCAGTTGAACTGGAGACCAGGAGGTGTGTGTCTACCAGGTCAAATTTCACCTAGCTCACACACTCACTCATACCTCCTATAGTTGTCTTTGGGGATTCAGTTAGAAGGAAACTAGAGTGAAGAACATTTTGGTGTTTGGCTTATTTACCAAATATTTACATTAGTAACAAATACAAATAGACAAAATCCCTGGATTTAATTACAGTCATGTTAGAACATATACTAAAGTAAAGATCCTAGATTCAAGAGAAAAAAATGACAAGGAAATGTTCTATGATCATTTTCTTTAGTAGTTCTCAATTGAGTGAAGTTTTATAAGAATTATTATTCAACTACTTTATTGAGGTATAATTTACTTTTAGTGATATGCACAGATCCTAGGTGAATGGCTTGATTATTTTTTCACTATTACGTACACTTGGTAACCAGCACCCAGATCAAGACATGGAATAATTTCATCACCCCTGAGGGTCCTTCATTCCTTTTCCCTTTTAATGGTTTCAGTATGTCTCTAAGAAGTCTCAATAAATTCCAATCTTATGTTTATGTTATCTTACATTTTTTTCTAGAATCTTTGTAGAGTCAGCTTTCATATTAAGGTCCCTTTTTTAAAAAAAAAAATACAGATATCCTGTTGCTCTGGCACCATATAGTGAAAAGAAACATACCTCTGTGTTTCATTAATTGCCTTGATACCTTTTTTGGAAATCAGTTGAATATATGTATAAGGGTCTAGATTGAAATGCACTATTCTGGTCTGTTGATGTATTTGTTGATTCTTAAGCTAAAGAGTAGACATTGTTTTTATAAGTGTAAAAAGAAAAACATAAAAACACCAAGGACAAGCTAGGTAAGTTTGTCTCATATTGCATGTGTGTGGAATTTATTTGACAAACACAGCAAAGCCGATACACTCATAAATGTGTAATAGTCTGTTAATTAGGATGCAGAGATTGATGCAGTAAGATTCACAAATAGCAATGGCTTACCAAGATTGACATTGCATATGCCACGTCTATGTATAAGGACTACAGCGTTAATAGAGCAGCTCCTTCTGTTTTGTGGCACTGCCATTTCTAGGATCTTTCCCTCATCCGTATGATAAAAGATGGCACTCCACCACATCAGCTTTCCCAGATAGCAGTCAGTAGGAGAAAAATAGGAGCGAGCAAATCTCTTTCTTTTAAGGATACAACCAAGAAGTTAGCAAACTTTACTTCCACTCAGAATCTAATGGCCAAAACTTTAGTCACGGTAGTCACGTTCACACCTATTTGCAAAGGAGGCTGGGGAATGTAGTCTTTACATGGGAGCAATATGTCTTATTGGAGAGAGGTGATGTTTTTAATCTTTCCACTGAAATATAGTAAACATACAATACTATAAAATGCATAAAGCTTAATTGTATAGCTTGCTGAATTCCTGTAAATGTGGATATGTGCTTAGGTCCATTTAGACCAGATATAAAATAGTCATCGGCCCAGAAGGTTCCCTTTGTCCCTTTTCTATCAGTCTCCATCCCTACCACTCCTAATAGGTAACAGTTCTGATTTAACCAGAGGTTACTTTTGCTTGAACTTCATATAAGTGAAATCATAAAATAGGTACTCTCACACTCAACAGAATGTCAGCATTATTTCATCAATGTAGTTGCATCTGTCACAGCTTATTCTTTTTTATGGTTGTGTATGTAGTATTATGTTTATTTTTAGGTTGTTAGAAAATGATTTGAAGTAATTTCAAAAGAAATGACTATTGTTAGGGACACCAACCCCCACATAATTGAAAATCCTTGTGTAATTTTTACTCCCATAAAACTAGCTACTGTTAGTCTGCTGTTGATCAGAAACCCTACCAAAAACATACAGTGGATTAACACATATTTTGTATGTTTTATATAAATATTGCATACTGTATTACAATAATACTATATAAAAAGACTGAAAAAAACAGTTGCATGCTATATTGAAAATCATGAAGAGGAGAAAATATAGTTACATTACTGTATCAATATCATAAGTTCAGATCATTTGTCTACAAGGAAATTTACATATAGGTGGATCCACACAATTCAAACCTATGTTATTCAAGGGTCCATTCTAGTCATCTCACTATGATATAATTACCCATGGTATTTTGTAAAACACTGACATATCTCCATAAGGGACAGAGTTTAAAACTTATAATCTTTGTAATCTTTTAGGTGTATCAAGCCAAATGACAAAAAGGCAGCACACATCTTCAATGAGGCTCTAGTGTGCCATCAGATAAGGTACCTGGGTCTTTTGGAGAATGTCCGCGTGAGGAGGGCAGGCTACGCCTTCAGGCAGGCCTATGAACCATGTCTAGAAAGATACAAGATGCTTTGTAAGCAAACATGGCCTCATTGGAAAGGACCAGCAAGGTAAGATACTCCTTGGTCGTACTGAATAATGAAGTGTAAAGCATACCAGTAATATGCTGTTTTCTTTAGTTGCTGAGAAGAAAAATCGTTTTCTATGAAAATGAGATGTAACCTCTGTTTTAAGTTCTCTTCCACCAGGATACAATTTTGTGCTAATTCTTGATTACTTATAGAGGTCTCAACTTTCTTTAAGGTCCAAATAGGGCTCATTATATCCACATTTGAGACTCCTGTGTCAGTGGAATTATTAACATACGTCATGTCAAGATAAGAAGAGATTATTTGTCACTCATAAGTATATTTGTGAGAAATCATAGAAGAGTTGAGTTAGAGGCATCTTGGCTCACTACTCTCAGCTTTTTGCTTTTCTTTCACTTTTTGTTTTTTCTCTGGAGGATTAACCTCAGGGACACTCCATGAGTATGAGTGAGGGCCCCACTCTTTGCCCAGGTCTGCACCAATTGAGAAATGGATACAGGAACTGATTGGGTTCACGGTGTCAGTGTCATTGCCAGGAAAGATTGATTAAAATACTTGCCTGGCCCCAGAGCCATACATACAGCTTTCAGTTCGCCTGCCCTGAATTGTACTTACCCAGCCAGTTCCAGTAAGAGGGCAGCTCTGCACAGGCCCACCCTGGGAGCAGCTCCTGCAAGCCCTCCCCATGCAGAGAGAAGAGAAATCAAGCCTCGCCTTTGCCAGGAGCTTTCTTCTGTTTTCACTGTTTGGGGAAGTTGCCCCCTCTCTGTTGGACATAGAAGCTCTCTCTGGACTATTGCTGGAAGGCTGTCATGCCTGTTTCAAGCTCAGGCAGAAACTTTAGGTTTTCATTTCACTGTATTAGTGTTGTCTCCCCCTACTCACTGGCCCTTACCTTTCACAGGATATCAGCAGTATTAGACACTCACCCTCTATTATGAAAAGAAAAACTCCAGATATGTAGTATGGTGTCTGACACATACCATTCAGTATCCAAATAATGTAGGGTCTGGTACGTTTTCAGTTCCCTCAGCTAATTTGCAGGGTACTGTGATCAGTGTATACCATAATATATAGAACATGTATTCATGTCCTGCCCAGCCCCCAGTCTCTGGGTAGATAAAGACTGATATCAAAACTAGGGTCCAGGATAGAGAGTTCATAAACAAGTCCAGGCTTTGCTCCTATCACATGAAGCCCATTGGTCTGGCACTTAGCACTCTCCTGGGCTCTGCCCACACTCCAAAGGACAAAGATAGTGCTTAGAATGCTTTTAAGAATTAGCTGAGTGGCTGTGATTTTTCTCGCACACCTTCTGGTCCTGGTTGGAACATGGTTACTGGTATATTTGATACAAGTGTTGCCTTTGCAAATGAAATCAAGAAATTGGCTTATACCCCATTTTATTGGACTGTGTTATTCTGAACCCAAATTTACTTTTTCAGCATTTACTGGATTTGGTTTAATTTGTGAAATTCAATCTAAAAATTCTTTGCTTAGAAGGGTGCTTTCTCAAAGAGCAATTTTACTTGGAAATGATGCTATTTTTTTTATACCACTGAGAACCTGATATCATTATTTAAGAGATCATAAACTGTTTTTGTAACTCAGAAAACTCACCATTTTTATTTATTTTCATAGGGCTGGTGTGGAGGTTCTGTTTAATGAATTAGAATTTCCTGTGGAAGAATACTCCTTTGGTAGATCAAAAATATTCATACGAAACCCAAGAACAGTATGTAATCAAAACCTTTACACTTTGAACTTGTTATATAGGCAAGGTCTTAAAGCACATTTAACTTTATAACTTTACCCAAAATGCTGCCAAGAATGCTATATTCCTGAGTTTCTCTGCAAATGTAAGAGAATGGACAAATTAGTAGGAATGGAAGAACAACTGTATTTTTTATGAAATATCAAAATCTTTGAACTGATAAGATATGAAACATTTAAGAAGTCATAAACAATCACAATAAATCCCCCCTTATTCGTTGGAATTGGATGAAAATTCAATCTTTATTTGTAAAATCTGAATTGTACGGTAATTGTTGGGAAGAAAACCCTATTATTTAGCACTACATGAAATAAATGAACTAGAATGAAATATAATTAGATTAGCCATTGGAAATTTAGAGTTTGGAATTTTGTGGCAATTTGGAAATTTAGAGAATTTGCAAAGTGCTTAAATTGTTCAAGAGAGTAACTTTGCCAGCATCTTCCTTCCACTAATAATTGCATCCTAATAGATGCTATAAAGGTAAATGTAAGCTGAATTCAGCCCATCTCTGACTTGCCTAAATAACTAGAATCTAAATTATGGGTCATGCATGGATTCATGAAGAGAGTTTTTGCATGGACTGTTACCATATCATCTATAATTAAGACAATTACTCATTTTTTTCCTCCAAGTGTTTGACTCCAACATCAAAGCATTTTACCTCCTGAGACTATCTTTCATGTGTGCCATGTGTTTTACATGGATTTTTAATAAATCCATTATCATTTCTTACTAGCTATTCAAATTAGAGGACCTAAGGAAGCAACGGCTGGAGGACTTGGCCACTCTCATTCAGAAGATTTACCGCGGGTGGAAGTGCCGCACACACTTCCTGCTGATGAGAAAAAGCCAAATTGTGATTGCTGCCTGGTCCAGGAGATATGCGGTGAGAGTCCACAGCATGTTTAATCTGTAGTGATGACAGTCATGGCAAGTCATTGTTATGTAGGTGTTAGGTTTGTAATTTTTGCATATTTAATCCTCTCATCCACCATGAAATGAAATGTCTTGTTCCCTTTTGAAAGATGAAAAAGCTAAGTCACTGGCATTTAAGAAACTTGCCCACAGCCTCACAGCTAAGTTACTAAGTGACAGGGATGGGGTTTTGTATCCAGGACAACCTCAAAACTCAAGTTTAGTGTAGCACACTGTGTGTGCGTGTGTGTGTGTGTGTGTGTGTGTGTGTATGGTGGGAAATCTGCATCTTGAGTTTGGTCATTAGATAGAAGGGAAAATGTTATTTAATCTTTTTACTAAATATTCTAGAATCAATTTTCTAAAATATTTGACTGTTACTGGTTTATTGAAGTAGCACTGAAAATGGCTTCAATCCAGAAAGTTAGTGCCACATTTTAGTAGAATTCCAGGTTGGTTATAGAGTTGGATTTCCTTTATTCCTCAGATATCTGGCCCCATTGAGTCAATAATAAAGTGTGTTCACTTAATTGATAATGGAATTTCTTATTGGAAAGGGATACCATAGGTTTGAGGGAAATCTTAATATTTGTCTCTAGACTAGCTTGACTTTGATTTGTGATCTACCAAATGATTTTACTGGTAAGAACACTATTTCCAAATGCTTTTTCATTCTGTGCTTTTTTACTAGAGAATGAGCTGCAATGCAAATTTGTGGTCAAATCTCCTTTAAGATAATGTTATTTCTTTTCAGAAAGGCATATGTAATTGGAACATAATTTATATTGACCTATTCTCATATAACACATTTTAGTCTGTGATTTCCAAGTTTAAGAAATTAATGAGGTACTTAAATGATTAAGCTAAAGACAAATGGCTTACCCTTTAAAAGAGATCTTTGAAATTGCTTCCTGCAGTTAAGAGTATAGAGAATGTATTTGATTCTCTAGTGTTATATCAGTTTCAGAATTTGAACTAGCTACTCCATGGTATTCTAGCCAATAATTAAACTCAGTATTTCCCTTAACTAAATAACTCCAATTTTCTGAATGTCCATTTTCAGTTACTAATTCTTTTTAAATCCATATTCTGTGATAGTTCATGGTTCCTTAAGATAAATTTTACAATGATATAGAGTCAAACCATTCAGGGATTTAAAAAGAAAATGTTGAGGTACCAAATGGATATTGGAAGCAATGGTCAGATATTGTAGATAAAATTTATTCTTACAACCATGGACTAAGATTCTATGAGGAATCTTAGAGATTTTCTAGTTCCTCATTTGACAGATGAGGGAACAGATGAGGCCCAGAGAAAGTAGTGCCACTTTTCAGGCTTCTCTTTGCCTTCCTCTCTAGCATCTTTTATCCTATTGCTCATTTATTGGTAATGTCAACCTCTATTTCCTCTTGATATTCCAGAATTTAACCTAGTCATGTTATTTCCCTCCTCTTATCCTCCAAAAAAACGGAGCTGAGCAATCTAACCAGAGTGAAAGACACACAGCATGACTTCAGTGCTTTGTTTAAAGATGCCGTGTGTTTTCATCACAGATGCCCAAGTTCTAGTAAATATTCCACACTAACTATACTGAGAGCTCACTTTCTGAGGATAACATTCCAGTAGGTTCAGTCACTTAGGCTCAGTCCTAAAATTAAAAAGTCCTTGGGATGTTGCGTTTGCCAGGCCTGAGCCTCACTGGGTCTTGTACATTCCCCTCCTGGATGTGACCTCTGCAGCCACTGGACCTGCCTGCCAGGCTCCTCTCTCCCAGGCTGCTATTTCTATTTCTCGTCGCTGAACTTATGTCTACTACAAGTCCTTGAGTGCAGGTCGGAGTGGGATTCACATGTATAGCCCTACTGTGAAAGGGCTTTATGCAGAATAAGAGATCAGTATAAGTTTAATCAGTTGATTTATGTTTACTTTTATTTGTTAGCTGAATTCCCAGCTTTAAAGCAGAGTGAACCTTAAAAGAACCAGGGAGGTAGGTGAGAAGTGGCACCAAAAGAAGAGAACAGCAAATGCAAATGTTGAACTCAGTGTGTTATTCATTCAGCATTTATTGAGTATTTTCTGGGTATCAGGTTCTGTATTATAGCAATATAATAAAAAGAACAACTGTTAATAATGGTGGCTCCTGTGTCAACTGGAAATTATTTAATAGTATTTAGCATCTTAGAAGGACGCTTTGGATTAACTGTAATAATTCTGAATTGTATGATAGTTTGGTATCTTTATTTATTGGTTCCTAAAATATAGTTGATTGAGTTAATTGCAGTAAGGTAGCAAATAACCTTTCCCAATTCTTGGAGTAATGATAGGTAAAAAGAACTGCTAATATCTTCCCCTTTCATCCTACAGCAACAAAAGAGGTATCAACAGATAAAGAGTTCTACCTTACTAATTCAGTCCTACATCCGGGGTTGGAAGGTGAGTTTACAAGAAGCGAGCCTTATTTGTTTGAGGTTTTTTGGTTTCTTCACAAAGGATGATGTCTTTAGGCTTGTCTTGCAGGGGAGGGTTCCTCATCTCCTGCCTCCCCTGTAAACAGTCAGATGGAAAGAATAAATATTATGCACCAAGCTGGGGTCTTGGTGACCATGTCTTGGCTGTTTCCTAACCAGCCTTCTTTGTAAGTGCTTTGTTCTCTTAGCAGGAAGCTCTTGAAATAATACTGAACATGATTTCAGTATCCTCCTGCCCCTGTTTATAAGGGAAGCTATAGTCCAGAAGGCTATGTGACGGTGTTGTCCTGTACCTGTGAGGCCTGCCAGACCACAGCACCCCCTTCTATAACCTCCTGGTGACTCTCTCTCCCCACAATGATTAAAAGAGTCTGAGCTCTGACCAGTCTAGCAGGGGTCACAGTGGGTAACCTGGTTCCGGGTCTTTCAAGCTAGGAGTGGTTTTGGTGTTCATTATTTTAAACCATTATTGTTGTTTTTTTGAAGAAGAACATTATTTTATGATATGAAAATTATATGCAATACAAAGTTCATAAAAAATGTTTAATTGTACACAGTTACACTCATTCATTCTACATCTGGTCTGTGGCTGCTTCATTGGCGGTACATTGGCAGAGTTGAGAAGCTGTGATAGAGGCTGTAGGCCCTGCAAAACAAAAAATACTTACCAGCTGTGTTTCTGCAAAAAATGTTGACTGACCCCTGCTCTAGTTCAAAGATAGGCCTATTCTGATCACTGTCATGTTAGGAGATTTTTGTGGACTGAGGATTCAGGGGAGCTATTTCAAGGTAGTTCCCAAGCTTGGAGCCCCTTCCAAGGATAGAGCCCTAGACCAGAAGTTCAGTGGCATCAACTGATCTTTGTCCAGGCCCACGGGCAACCTAAGGCTTGGTGTTTGTGCCCCAGCAAAGGCCACAATACAAATCTGAGCACGTAGAGTAAGTGAAGTTGCTTGCCTGCACATTCTTCTTAACCTTATTAGTAGGCCCCCTCTCACATTCTCCTTTCTAAAGACTTTAGAGGCAGGACTCAAAGTCCACCTGTTGTGCAACCATCCTAGACTGGGTAGGTTCATTTTTGATTTGGGCAAACGGATAAGGAGTCTGGGAGCCCTCGGTAGATTTGACAGGTCTTTAATACTGACTCAGGGAACCAGGTGCACAGGGAGACCAGCAGGTAGGGAGGCAGGCAGCGGGGGTCCAAAGGCTGGCAGCAACTGAGCCTCCCAGCCCCGGGGATCTCCCCACTCTCTCTTGCTTCTCTTTTCTCTCTCAAAATGATCTCCGTCTGGGGCATCCATACTTACAAGCACGTGCGCCCTGAGCCCTCCAGCTTCTTAGCCCGGGCGTTTGTGATGACAGGCGCGCACACCACACTCATGCTCCTCAACCCGCATGCCGCCATCATAGTGCTCCATGTTCCACTCCCAAGAGGTTTTTGCAATCACACAATATCACATGTGGGCAATGAAACGCAGGAGGAAAGCAGTGCTGCAGGTGGCGGCCATAGAGACTAGTGGGGGAGGCGAAAAAGAGCCTGAGTAGCTCCATATTCCCTACACCCCCTCCAAACCAGGCATCTTCCAGGTCTCCACAAAATCAGTTTCCAGCAGCTCTGGGAAGTAGCCACTGGTTTTAGACCAGCAATATACTTTTATTTTAGCAAATGTTAAGTTTTATGTTAGCAAATGTTCTTACTCACTTTTGAGTAAGAAATAAACAGTTATAGTCCAGAAAATAATACTGCAATAAAATGTACTTTGCTAGCTCATTGGCGACTCTCCAGGCACATCTGAGACCTATTCCATCCGTCCTTCTCATGTGTGCCTGCTGTATTTCCCTGGTCACTTCTTTTCCTGCCATATATTAGCGCCTGGGAGGCTGCTGTTCCCCTCCTACCGGGGGCTGTGTTGTCAGACTCCCTGTCTTCATGTACCACATCCTCATAGTCAGTTTGGATGAATAAGCAACTTCCTCTTTTGCTTTCACTGATGAATTAGCTATTATAGCAGGTTATTCAGGTATATATTTTTATAAGTTACTGTGAATTCCAGTTTTGTTAACTTTCTATTTTTCTGGGTAATCTTGTGCCGTAGGCTCGAAAAATCCTGAGGGAACTAAAGCATCAAAAGCGTTGCAAGGAAGCAGCCACCACCATTGCAGCATATTGGCATGGTACCCAGGTAGGCCATGGACTCCGCAGAAGGTAGACCAAGACCCTCTTGTTCAGGGGCAGAAAATGTTTCACCGGCTTAAGCTACTGAGCATGCATCTGCCTCTCGCTCTTTCCGACATTTTGGTCTGGGTGGTGGCACATGCTTTTGTTTACTACGTGGTGGTGGCTGGTGTCTCTCTTCTTTCCAGTGGGAACCAGCGGTAACCTTTCTTGCCTTAAAACTTTTCTGTCACTCCTTTTCAAATGCATCACAGGCGCGAAGGGAACTGAGCCGGCTGAAGGAGGCGGCTAGGAATAAACATGCTATTGCAGTTATTTGGGCTTACTGGCTTGGATCTAAGGTACTTGATACGCACATCCCACACTCCATCCTGGAATCTGCAATAATCATATGTATCTCTAGCATATTGGGGATGAATGCCGACATTTAACCGTGGCTCATACTGGTGCATGTCCTAGCAGCTGGATTTAATAAACCCAGAGCTGTTAGTGCCAGAGTTAGCTCAAGCATGTGTAGCAAAAGAGACTAATTGCTTACTAATGAGGCACTAGTGTAATTGCTCTTTTGAAAAAATTCTTAAGTAACATGCATGTTTAGTTTTCTTTTTATTTTCCTCGAACGTGTACTGGTGGTTTTCTAGAGAGGTATTTGTGTGTGTTGGGGGAGAGGGGATAGGGGAGGCATGTTGGAAAATGTTAAGATTTGGGCTCCAATCGGTATTTTGCAATGTGTGGATGATAGAAATGCCTTGAATGCATGCCTTAAAAAATATTAATCCATGAATGAAATGGCTTTTTAAGCTCATTGGGGCAGCTATTGATTATTATGAGCAAAAATATTACATGTGAAAGGAATTATCATTTGTGATTTAACAGAAAGCTCTGTTCATGCACAGCTAGCTATAATTGCCACTGAAGAATCCCAGGAATTTCAGCATCAGCTGTTTGTTTTCAGAAACAAAGGCCTCCTGAAATACTCTCACTAATCCCCAGGCAGAGTCGTGGGCTCTGTGAACATTTCACATTCCCCAGGGGACAAGATTTTTAGATGTTTTTGTTACTTAGAAAATCAAAGGTCATCTCTGCTAAAAATGTGTATTCCCATTAGAAACACAAATTTCATTATAGCCGTATGTTTTGAAGTCTACCTTGTCAGCATTAAAGGCCCATCTTGTGAGAAAAATGAGAAAAGTCAACTTTTGCCTGCAAAAGATCTTAATGTGCCAAAATTGAATCAGAGTTGTTCATGTGTGTTTTCCCTTGAAAAATCTGTGAACTACAAATTAGTTCCTTTAGTCAAACCGAGGGAAATGTCCTAGCAGAAGCAGAAGGACTGTTAGTTGATGATTCCTGGGATTTCTCACTGGATGAGCTTATTTCCTAGTCTCAGTACTATAATGGAGTGAAAAATCAATGCTTGTTTATTCCTGTCTTTTGAAATAGCAATGCCTCAGATTAATTTTTCCCTAAGATTAATTTTAAATCTATAAATTGTTTAACTCTTTACCTTGCCTCATTGTATTTTGCTGCTTGGAACCTTAGCAAATACAAATTTTTGTATATGCTGCTTGTAATTTCCTAACTTGAGAAAATTTTGAGTTTTGTTTTTTGATTGAACTTAGAGAAACAACCTTTATTTCTTCCAGTTTTCTAAATGGCTGTTCACAAGAATTGTCTTTTTATATATCCAAAGGAAAGAACTCAGGAATTCACAGCTTCTTTAGCCCCGAATGCTCGCAGCCAAGGGAAGCCTACTGAAATCATTAGGTGCCACTCACAGTTCTGAAACTATTATAACTCTGAGAGGGAGAGAGTATGGGAAGGAAGTGAAGAGGGAGAGAGAACCAGGGGCAAGAAGGAAGAAAATGGGTGTTGGGGTTGGGGAAGCCATCACCTGAGATGCCACCCAGCAGGCCCCCCTCTGGAACCACAGTCTCCGTGCAAGAATGCAAGGGCTGCACCAGCCTGACACTGATTCTTTGGGTTTTAATGATCATGCACCATTCCTCTATCATTCTGGTATCCTTATTCATAAATTGACTCTTCCGTTTGGCGGGGTGTCTTTTTCTGATCGTTTATGCTGTCTGCGTTGGGCTGTCTCTTTTATTTACTATCTAAAACATTCTAGGCTCGAAGGGAATTGAAACGCTTGAAGGAGGAGGCTAGGCGTAAGCATGCTGTTGCTGTCATTTGGGCTTACTGGCTTGGACTGAAGGTACTTCTTCAACCCCTTCTTTCTGTCCAGGGTGAACTCAATGAAGCCTAGCACCTACTAACCCTGAGAAAACTATTGATTTTGCTTGCTCATGGTCTGCACAATCTTTGACAGTGTCATCTTGCCTAATTTTGTTTCTTTGTGAGAATAAACCTGTACACTAATATTTTCTGATTTTTTTTTGTGGTATATATCTTTAAGTAGTATTTTTAAAGCAGTGCAGTGTATTTATCCAAGATACTTCGTTACCCAATTTCTGTTTTATGTCATCTTTATGAGTCTTAAGTTTGTTTTAATTCCTGAGACAAAGTTACAGTAGTGGAGCTAAAAGCAGACCCACTGTCTATAGTGACCAGCCTGGGAATCACAGGCTTTTACGTCCCTCTATCTGCCTCTGTCCCAGCAATGGCACCTGGAGCAAAGCCTTCTTCAGAGTGACCCTCATGCTAATTGTTCCGCATAGAAACCAAAGGGTTTTGCATCAGTAAACAGAGAGATTTTGATGAATGACCACCATTGGATCATTCAGGTTAATGAGAACTTTAGATTCAAATGCCTTCTAATTTAAGGGTTATTTCCAGGTGGTGCTTACTACGTGAGGTATGGATGCCCATAAGGAAATACGACAGACACTCAGTTCAAGTCAACCTTGAGAGTGAACTTCAGGCAATTAGAAGATTTTCTATTCCTAATATTCAGGAACTGATCACTGTACTCAGCCATCCATATTATTTTCCTTGGAATAATTTAGCCCCTTTTTGGATGCTATTTTGCAGTTATTTTTTACTTTTACAGTATAAAAGTAAAAAATTCATCTGCTTGTAAATATTTGCAAATTATCTGGGAAATCATTGACTCTACGTCTGAACAGACTTGGCAGTATCTGTAAACTCTGCTTTGAAAGTCTGTATTTTTCCTTGAAAGTTTAGCCTATAAATCTTTAGTAGATTAACATTTCTGATTATATTGAAGTCATCAAGTAATTTTTGAAATTAAGAAGTAGCAAGTATAAATTTAAGATGTTCTATTTGAAGCATTCTGAACAAGTTCTGTAACTGCTTTTTTAAGTCAAAACTAAGAATTTGTTCTAATTTGCATTTTCATAAAAAGAAAGAACAAATGACACTGAGTCAGGATTTTTATTCTTTATACTGCTAGCTACCGACCATATTTTATTTATCTTTACTTTTCTGGGTTTAACTGGATATGATTTCATACCAGGGCTTTATACTAGCAACCTATAAACCAGATTCCATTTGTAGGTGAATGTTGTTTAATCAAAATTAACGTACTTACACGCAACATTTGTCTCCTGTTTCCAACAAAGGAGAAATGCCTTACTATCTTGCCACTATTACTTTTTAAAAGAATATTAAACTTCTTTGAAGTCCAAAATGGGATAATTTTGTACATTTTTTAAAAAGACAATTATGTTGGGATGAACAATAGTTTTGCCCTTTTAAAATGACTGGATTCCTCTTGTAGAAATGATTGCAAAATTCAGTGGACCTTTTTAGGTGCCCATGAGGGGAACCCATTCTAGGTGCCAGCCTGTTGTCACCAGGCTTTTACAGTATGTAGGTTTTTTTTTTTTTTTTTTTAGGGGGAGAGCTGGAGGAAGGGGGTCAGAACAGCCTATCCTATGACTATCAAAAAAGGCATTGTATGTGTTTAAACTATGTACAGTAAGACTTCTAGTATATTTCTAAGGATTTTTTTTCCCCATGTAACCTCACTTTAACTTGTCTGCTTTCCTATGCTATTATAATTTGAGGAGCCAATTAATAGACACCATTTTCTTCTTCTCTCTCCTGGTCTTTAAAGCTTGAGATTCAAAATAGTTATGAATATAAACTCATGACTAAAATAGAAAGGTTAATTAGCAACAAAGAATTTGACTAAAAGGAAGAACTGCTTAGATGGTATATGGGAAAGTTTTAAACTTTAATAATCCACAGGTAAAAAACGGGTATGGTACTTAAATGTCTAAAGGGGCCAGGCCTGTCAAGAGATTGAGGTCGGAACACATGGAAGGTGGATTGGGACTGAGGGCCTCATGCAGTTTGGACCTTGTGTGTTTCTTCTGAATACAGCAGAAGTCTGGTCTAATGCAGCCCTTGCCTTGTACATTAGAGCTTGCTCTGCTAGATACTAGAAAACGTCAAAGAAACTACGGTGTGAATTCTTCTGTGAAGTTTACTTTAAAATATGCATATAAAATATTTGTCTACAAACTGAGTTTGGTTCATAGATCACTAGCTTACAATTCCTGCTCTAGAAATGTGTTGACTTTAAGCAGTTAAACCCAGAAAAGTAAAGACTAAATGAAAAGATACATAATGTCTGAATTGTTCAAGTAGACTAGTATTTTGCTAAATTCTAGCTCCCATTTGTAGCCCAGTGATAATAAAGATTTTAAAATTTTCCCTCAATTTCAAATTTTAGCTCTATTATTCACTCATTAGCAAACAACTCATGTAGTTACTTTATTTGTTAGACATTGATATATAAAGTAAATCTGACAATGCAGCAGCAAGAATTATGTAAACCACAACTATAATATGATAACTTAATGCAGTATCATAGTATTAAGTAGAAAGGATGGTGGGAGTAGGGATGAGAAAGAAATCATTGTAATTAAATGGAAGAGGATGGTAGTTCAAAAGCTTTGTAAATTCTATTTTTAGCCACATTCAGTACTAAAAGTCCTATCTTCATATGCAAGATTTGGTAACTGCTATAGCTCTTCAGATACTTTTTGCCTTTTAAGAACAATTTGAAGAGAAAATTGCCTTATATAATTTTTTCTGAAATGTATTTTGATTTGTGATGAATTTGCAGCTCTGCCTGTAAAATGTTTCTCATCAAATCGTCAGGTTCTTTAAACATTAGTTAAGAGGATTTAAAACATCAAGACTTTCTGATGTTACTACTTTGCATCTCCCAGTTTCTTTTTCTTCAACTTAGAATCCACTGTCTGAATATGCTTCGGTTATTTTACTGATTCCAGAAAGGTGCTTATACATGTCCTTTTGCTCCACCTCTTTTTGTTTGTAGTAGAGGTGTGTCATTCTTTATGGGCATCTGCCAGCCACACGTTAACTCTATATTCTGCTGCTTCTTTTTAAAGGTGCGTAGGGAGTACAGGAAATTCTTCAGAGCCAATGCTGGAAAGAAAATTTATGAATTTACACTTCAGAGAATTGTAAGTTTATACTTTACATGCTGCTAATTAGCATTATTGTATTAACTAGTTATTAATAGCACCAGCTCAATAATACACAACATATTTGGTAGCAAATCTGAACAGTGACTCTGAGAGATCGTGTTCTTTTTTACCATGTTCTTTCAAATTCAGGTAGAACCATGCCAGGGAGAGTTATTAATGACCCCTATATGATTTACAAAATGTTGTCATTTGAAAGAGAGAGCATACTTTGGAGAAAGTGAAACCAAGAAAACCAGGTGTCTGGTTCAGACCTCTCTGACAAAAATACTATAGATAGTTTAGCTTCAACAGTAAACATTTATTTCTCACGATTCTAGTGAGAACCGTCTCCTGATTGTCCTCATGTGGAGGAGAGAAAAAGAAGCAAGCTCTCTCTTGTCTCTTTATAAGGGCCCTAATCCCATCAGGGGTCTCTGCCCTCCAAACCTAGGAAAGTGGAGGCTGTGCCACGCAAGGGAGCAGATTCTGAAGTGCCCCTCTTTCAGAGCAGTGTATGTAGTGGTAGAACATGAAATCTAGGATCAATTTGTCCTCAACTTACAGATTTGTGACTTGAGCGAGTTACCTAACAAGATGGCCCACTACAGACTGGTTTGTTTGCTCGTGTTTCACATCTTGCTATGTCTTTTCTGGTTATTATACTCATATGATATTTTCTGTCAAACCCCAATGCAGGTGCAAAAATACTTCTTGGAAATGAAAAATAAGATGCCTTCCTTGTCTCCAATAGACAAAAATTGGCCACCAAGACCTTACCTATTCTTGGATTCTACTCACAAAGAGCTAAAAAGGATTTTCCACTTGTGGAGGGTAAAAAATGTCTTTGTTTTACTGTTTGGGAGACTTCTTACATATTTTGAGTGTTTGACAAGGGTCATATAAAAGCAAATTTTTGCCACATTCTTCATTCTAGAGAATTACTTGAGGACTTTGGTATTTCTGAACCACACACTGTCCTTGGTGTCCTGTGACAGATACAGCAGCCAGGTGTTCTGGGATGGCCCCCTCTCTCCCCAGGCTGGAGAGGGGAGCACCTGAATGCATCGTCTTTTCCTTCCAGATTCCAGTTGCTTTCAAATAGTTCAGTGTTTAGCTAGCTAGTTGTTGCTATTGTTTATCTGAAGAAATATTACAGGAGATAGAAATAATAAAGTTTGGATATCTGCAGACAGCATAAATTACGCTAATCATATGAGCTTACTTTCTAAGATGTATTGATCAGATATCCATACATATGTGGGAATGTACGCTTCGGTGTAAAGAGGCTTGAAAGTCTCCCAAAAGATATTAGAGAGATACAATTTCCTTCTACCTGAATTAAAGGGAAACTGAAAATCAATTTGATAATTTCCATATATTTCAGCTCACTCAGCTTTGTATGCATGTGGCAGTCTCGGGACTAACAGGAGTGTGGGCACTGAGTGAGGGAGCAGTGCTCCCAACAGGCCCATTTGAAGAAGCACCCCAAGTTCCACAGTATAAAAAATAGTTTTCATAGAGTCATTTTCCAAGCTCAACCTTTTAAAACCCACAAAGGAAAAATGCTTTTGACTTTCTAAATAAATGTTTCATATACATTCACTCATATTCGTGCTGCTATTAAATTAACATGTGAAAGAGTAATGATTTATTCATAAATGTGATGTCATTTTTTCCCCCTTCTTTTTATGTTTCACAGTGTAAAAAATACAGGGACCAATTCACAGACCAGCGGAAACTTATTTATGAAGAGAAATTAGAAGCCAGTGAACTCTTCAAAGACAAGAAGGCATTATACCCATCTAGGTACTATGGCTTTACTTTATACCATAGAAGCCAGTGTTTTACTAGTATCTCACATATGCTTGTCTTCTAGTGGAGCTTAATTTCAGTAATACAGGAGAGATTTTTCACTTTATGAATTATTTTGTCATCAGTGGGATTTGAATATAGGTAAACACATTTGAGCAATGGCTTCTATAGTGTACTTTAATGAAATGAGGTTATATTTGTTGGTTTCACTCCATTGGCATTAGCTCAAAAGCTTCACTCAACAATTACAAGCCCTCATTTAAAATAAAAATTGCATAGGCTAGTAGGATAAATTGTCACTGTAAACTCCTGTTAGTTTTCAGAAACTAGTCTAATTTCTGTTGGTAATAGACTGTAAGCACCTTCTTATCTCCTTATTGCAACAAGCCAGGCCAGAACCTCATTTGTAAGATCAGTTTAAAAGAGTGAACCAGGAGAGCACTGCTAGAGTGTTGTCCAAGCATTGGTCTATGGTCTGCTACCTTCTTGGGCACAACTTCACTTCCTCCTTATAGACTCTGAGCACTCAGTAAAAAGACAATACCAGTTTCAAGTTTGCTAAGTGAAGTTCTTGCTGAAGACTGCCTATCTGAGTATTCTTTCATCTCCCAAGTTCATTCTTTGCCCCCAAATTTTCTATTCCTAATTTTCATCTGGTGTTTATATGAAAGTAGATGATACACTTTCGAGCCAAATCTATAACTTTTAATTTCTCTCCAAAAAATAGCCTGGAAATAAAAGCATTATATGCTAAGTGTATTCACGTATATTATTTAGGGTATGTTTATATTCTCTATGTCTTTATACACATTTGAAAACTCCTTTTACAGGGTTCAATGACATAAATTACCAGATTGATTTGCTTTAAATATTTAAATAACACTGCTTCCTCAGTCAGCTGAATTGACTGCTTAAAGTGGAATAGACTTCCCTAGGTCAAACACAATGTCTCAATCCAAAGTTGTCCAAAGTGCCTGCTTTGTAAAGCATATTCAAACAGGAAAATTGCCTAGATGCATTCTTCAGCAAGTAATTTTATTCAACTTTTTCTTTATATATTTTTAAGTTATAGAGTAACCTTAAATGAATATTCCCTATTTTTCAAAAACTGGAGGGTAAAAAAGCACATTTTTGAAGAAACAGATTCAAAAGCTCTTAGCACTTTTTATTATTAAAAACATGTTTGAATACAACCTCCCCCTCTTCTCCCAAGTGTTCACATCAAGCCAAGTCCTTTTTTGGTGGTTTTATCAGCTTTCAGGGATGGTGGTGCGCCCACCCTCCAGCACTGAGAGAGGTGGAATAATTTCCCCACCCACCGCCATGTGAAGCAGCAGCTCGTATGGGCACTGGCCTTTCATATCCTGAGAACCGTGAAACACTGACCACCTACGTGGATTTTTCTTCCCTGCTTTTCCACCCACAACATGAGCGTTTCGTTTGTATTTGCAAATTTTCAGAACTTCATGGCTCAAAATGAAGCTGTATTTTTTTTCTTGCTGTCTTTGAAGACACTACCCTGAATGGGTCACCCCGAAAGTCTTTAGGGAAATGGATACCTCACTGCTGTGTGCACAGTTATGCCTCTTCTAGGTTGTTTATTTGAAAGAAAATGGCTCTGATTCTGCATGTTTGCTGAGGCCACTTCTGTTCATTTAGGCCATAGCCTAGAAGGAGAGACTTGATTCTTTTTTCCTGTATTTACTGATTTAGAGCCAGAGTTACATGGTAATGTTAAGTGCTTTATAGTTTTCTTTTCAAGTACATGCTCTGGATGTGTTCTTACCCAGAAGACCTATTGATTTTCTTACTCTGCAGAAAATGAAATTTTTCTTTGGAGCAAGTGATGGTAATGATTTGTGCTCTTTTTTCCCATTGCTACATATTATTTAAAGGCATTAATAAATCCTGTGAGCAGCTGTTAACTTTGTATTAGCAGATTAGAAGGAATTACCTTTTCCTTCACGAGACCATGCACGTGGGCATTCGCTATTGTTCTTGTGTGGTATTTCTATCCAGGTTGTTCCATGTGATCGATTTTTATCAAGGTCCTGCCTACCAAATGTTATGATCACATCAAAAATACATTTTAAGTAGGCTTTAGTTTCCATTTCCAACTGATATTTAGGATAGTTATAAGTATAATGTGTAAAATACACCAAATAAATGTACTTTTTATGAAATTGCCACACATTCTTCAGAATCAACTGATATGTTTTCCAATAGAATTTCTATTCAAAACCTTTGCTAATGACAGGGGATTCTTTCATTTAGTGTCGGGCAACCATTTCAAGGGGCTTACCTGGAAATCAACAAGAATCCCAAGTATAAGAAACTCAAAGATGCCATTGAAGAAAAGATTATCATTGCTGAAGTTGTGAACAAAATTAACCGCGCTAATGGGAAGGTAAAAATGTTAACTCTTAAGACCTTATAAAAAGTGTTCATCAGTGATTTTTAGCTCCCTGAATGTTAAAATTTGCATTGTACATTGTCAGCAGGGTTACTATAAGTGAGTTATTTTACCTTACTTTGCTTGTTCATTGAAACTGTTAGGAATTAAAATGTATTATCTTTGTTTTTTAGTGTATTTTCACTTTACATAGGCATGCATGCTGAAAAATATGGAATAAAATGCGCAATTTTGCAAATAATGTATGCGTTAAACTCATGAATCATTTTGGGTCATCTTTGGTCATTAGTTTTACATCTTATTTGCTTTTAGAGTACATCCCGGATTTTCCTCTTAACAAATAATAACCTCCTCCTTGCTGATCAAAAGTCCGGACAAATCAAGTCAGAGGTTCCTCTGGTGGATGTCACCAAAGTGTCCATGAGCTCACAAAATGATGGCTTCTTTGCTATCCACCTCAAAGAGGTAAAGGTTCCCCTGTTGATACCACTGGAGGATTTCTGCCTTTATTCAATCTCTCAGCCATTGAATAAAAATTTTCTACATCAGAATAATACATTTACTTGAAACTTATCTATCCTTCTTGTTGTTTGCAAGTTTTAATTGTATTAAATATAAATTACATAAATCTCAGTCTTGGATTTTCAGTAACTGAATACGTTTAATCACTTTTCATGTTCATTTGAATTCTAACTTCAGTGAGCAGCTTTTGTTTATAGACACTGTGATGTGCATTATTTTGAGACTAATGTTGAGAAATATTAAAATATCTTAAATGAGGTATCCTGTTGTTTCTAAAATATAAAGTCTTTTAGTTAAAGACTGCAACTACAGTAAAGTAATTGTCTAATAATTTTGACCTAAAGGTTTTTTAATATTCTGTGCTTTTGCTTAGCCAGGACATCCTGACTTGAGTGGTTGCTGTTGTAGGCTCTGGAGTTGGTTCACTAACTTCATAATGACTTTGGCTAAGTCTTAACTTTCATGTACCTACATAATTTTTCTTCTGTTTGAAATGAGATAAACATAGTACCTACTTCATAGCATTGTTAAATTAATAAATGAGATGCTATTTAAAGAGCCTGTGACATAATCGTCATTGAATCAACAGGTGCTGCCAAATAGTAGCCATATTTAGTGTCTTGCATCTAACAGATAGTGTCCCTGTCTAGCTGGTTCTAAACTTAACAAAAATCCCATACTCTGAGGTTAGCCTGTTTACCCTTCTGGGGGTCTTAATTTAAAGGGAGTAAGTAATTCAGTTGCCAGGATGGTGATTTAATCGTGCATTATAATGCAATGATCATACATTAAAACAATGCTGATGTCCAGACCATATCCAGTCCAGTCATATCAGATTCTCATGGAATGGAATATAAGCATCCTGCTTTTTGAAAGCTCCCCTGTGCACTTAGGTTGAGAACCACTGCCTTGAGATATTTGTTGAAAATGTTGTTGTTTTTCTTGTTGTTCTAACCAAATCACAGAGGAGTTTTTAAACTGCTCTTTCTGAGCTATAGGTTAGGTCAGCGCTTCTTGAACCTGACTGTGCAGCCACATCACCCAGGGATATGCCATGGATTCCTCCTCAGCGGGTAGGGCCTGAGGTGCTGCTTTTGTAACAAGCTCCCAGGCGATGCTGATGTGCTTCTGGCATTGACCGGCCTTGAGGAGTAGGGGTTAGGTGACCTTACCAACGTAGTCCAAACAAAGAAGGAAGAAATCTTGCTTTTGTCATTATTGCCCATTTGGGAGACTGGCCTCAGTATCTGGTATTTTTTAAGATCTATAAATATGTATTCAACCAAACTACAATCACCTCCTAAGCTGGCTCCCATTGTGATAGTCTGACTCTTGGTTTGTCTCTTTAGGGCTCTGAAGCAGCAAGCAAAGGCGACTTTCTCTTCAGCAGTGATCATCTGATTGAAATGGCCACCAAGCTCTATCGCACAACTCTCAGCCAAACCAAACAAAAACTCAATATTGAAATTTCTGATGAGTATGTTCATGAGGTTTTTTTTTTAAGATTTTTTTATTTATTTGTACAAGCACTGGATACAGTCAGAAGCACGGGAGGGTGAGAGAATTCACCAGAGCCAGAGGAGAGAGCAGAGCAGGCAGACTGACGAAGTACACTGCTGAGGGGAGCAGTGGGCGGCAGGAGAGGTCTGCGCGCCATGTGGGACCCTCACCTGGTGACCAGGGATCAAACCAGTGCTGCAGAGGCTGCGGGCAGCTTCGCAGCCCAGCGCTCAACCGCTGCGCCACCGGGGAGGCCCTATTTGAATATACTTTTCATTTTCAGCTTTATTGTTTTAGTTGAGCAGTCTGACCTCAGTTATTTATACAACCAACCACTACTTATTAAGTAACAACGATGAATCTGGTATTTGTTCTAGCTGATGGCTGGGCAGTGAATGACACTGGCCAAGTCTCCATTGATGCACTTGACATCCTAGTAGACAAGCCAGATATGCACAAATAAAATAATAATAATAATTTGATTTGATTCAAATACTTGTTTGTTTTTTTTTTTTAAGTCAGATTATGGGTTAGGGGGATGTTATTTTTGATAGGGAAATCAGAAAGCCCTCTGTGCAGTGATCCTTGAGTCAAGACCAAGATCAGTTAATGAGTGAGCCAGGCAACAATCTGGGGAGATGCTTCATGGGTCAGGGAGGCAGCAGATACCGAATCCCTGAGGTAGGAGTGAACTATGTGGCAGGGTGAAATGTAGGACCAGACCCCAGAGAGAGAAAGGCAGAGTTCCGCCATGTAGCACGTAGAAGCTGGGGTAGAGAGTTGAGATTTTGTTGAGGATCATGGGAAACCATTAGTAGTTTTGAGCAGGAGTGTGGCGTGATCTGATTTATGATTTTCAAAGCTTGCTTTTGTTGCATTGTGGAGAATAATGATAGAAAGTCCAGAGTAGAAGTGGAGAAAATAGGAGTTTCTCTACACTCTCTAGGGTAAGGATTATTTAGCTCGGGCTAGGGTGTGAGTGGGAGGTAGTGAGAAGTAGGCAGATGCTGAAGGTAATTTGAAAGAAAACAAGAGAAATTATTAACAGATTGAGTGTTAGGTTTTTGGCCTCAGTCCAAATGTTGGTTCCATTTACTGCAGCAGATAACACTAAAGAAAAATGAGTTTTGGGTGAAACTCCATGTTGAGGTGAAATCGGGAGTGCTATTTTCAGTGTGTTATATATGAGATGACTTTTTTTCACATATATATAACTAGTTATAGAATAAGCATTCTGTGTTGACAAGGTTTCACTAGTGCTAAGCCTGCTATAAATTCAAAATTAGCTTTTTTGTACATTACATTAGGTTATTAATTAGAAGCAGATTATTTACATACAGCATGGGTCATCCCCCCATTTTTGAAATCTATTGACTAGAGATTATTCGAATGAATTTGGGTTACTCTATTGAGTAAAATTTGCATATACTATCTGTAGTAAAAAATTCCATTACTAATGATTTTATTTTCTAATTAAGATTTTAAGCCTATTTGAACTCTTCTGAGCCTTTCTAAAGTAAATTCATGCCCATCTGTCCCTTTAGAAGCCATCTCTCTTTGATGTGTTGCAATTTACGTAGCCATAGGCTCATTTCTGTTCTTCTTGTTCACTAAGAAGGGTGTTTAGATTGGGTGGGAGATTGGGCCTTATGGAGACTCTACTTTGGAAATTATAGTTGTGACTAAATCACTTTTTTTGTTATTGAGTCCTTTTCATAAAACAAAGAATATTAAAAAACACCACCACGAAGATCATGGCTAGTTGGGTTCCAGTTCATTAAGGTTAACCTGTTAGGGTCTACTAGAGCTGTCCATTCCCTCTCAGTGACATTTTTAATAACTAGGGACTGGACTTCTGTTTAGGTGGGGCTGCTAATTCCCTTCACCATGGGGAGATTCTTTGTATTCTAGATGCAGAAGCTCCTAGTAAATGGAGGGTAAATGGATGGAGCAGCGCCTCATAGATGACCTCCTGCATTTAAGGGAAAAAGAAATCACACCAACATCCATGTACAGAGATTGCTACACTTAAGCATTCCCCAAAATGGCATTCTAAGAACACTGCTTCTGCAGGATTTATTAGTAATGCGCGGTGAAGAAAGTGTTCTCTGTGGAAGTCAGAATCTTTCTTTATTATGATAGCACTTCCCAGAGGCTCTGCAGTCTCATTGCAAATTATACCCCACTTGAGGGGCTGAGGGGTTTTGAGAGGATAGCGTGTGCTGTGTTTCCCAAAAGTTGGCGACCACAGCATCGCCCAGTGGTCCTCACCATTTGTGTTCAAGGCACCAGATCGCAGATGTGACCTGATGGGGACAGTTTGCTTCTCAGTGGCAGGGACTCTTGCTTGTCCTCGCAAAGCGTGGGATGTTCTGGATGTGTAAGTTTTCAGTAACATGCTGGTCTGAGTGGCCATGTGAAGAAACAAGCATTCAGTAGCATCATAAACCAGGCCATTACACCTTTCCTTCTCAAGGCCTCATTACTGGCTGATCTCATGCCAATGAAATCAATGAAAATGAAATAACTGATGGAACCCCGCCTGGCATCCATTGCCCCTGCCTGAGCAGTGCAGGAAGCCTGGTAGTTAGTGACTCAGTTATGTCCCAGTAACTCAGAAAAGCTATTCCCTGAGAAACACTGAAAATCTGGTAACATCATACTGACACTGATAGTGGCTTTCAGGTGAGAAAACCTGGGTTCTGGTCCAGCTGTGCCACTCTCCTGCCTCACCAATAATGCCAGGGACCTCATTTTATGTATCCGGTGTCCATCACAGCACCCAGCCTGGGGGGAACCAGCAGGATGTTTGCTGTAGGAAGCAAGGTGATGAATAATCTTGTGAACAAGCATTTAACCCCTGATGGTCTGTGAAAGGAAAGATTTAGACTAGAACATGGTTTCCCACAGTGCACCACCTGTACCCCTGGTAGATAAGTGATGACTTCAGGTAGAGAGATATATATAATATTGCAGTTTTGATAGAATATGCAATATTATAGTTATGTCTAAAAATATAAGTGGCAGATCAAACTTGTGATTTTGTCATTCTGTCCCACACAGCTATTTTGAAATACATTATTTTGAATAGAAATAGCTATTGGCAGAGTATGTAGCTCTAAGAAGAATTATGCAGGAGTGAATAACGTTTGGGAGTTGGTCAGGAGGGTCTCCATACCCCTTCCTTTTCTGAAATTCCTTTTTTTTTTCTCAGTTTGTTGGAAATTTAACAGATATTCCTCTTCAGTTTATACTTTTGCTATGCTATGGAAAAATAGCAGATTGGTCTTTTCCATTTGAAAGATGGAAATAATTATTTTTAACCTTTCTAGCCTTATTGGAATAAGATGAGTCAATGAACTTCAGTTTACTTAAGGCTAAATAATAGCTACCAGAGGTGATATGCTGGGTAGCACAGGCTGATGAGCCTGTGCTGCGTAGAGAAGCATGACTGGAAGCAGTAACACTTACAAGATCAAAGAGCTATTAAAAAGCGAAAGCTGCCGTTAATATAATCATCAACTGTTCTCTGTGTACTTTTCTTGAATTTACTATATTCTTTTCTCCTAGGTTCCTGGTGCAGTTTAGACAGGACAAAGTATGTGTGAAGTTTATTCAGGGCAACCAGAAAAACGGGAGTGTCCCAACCTGCAAACGAAAAAACAACCGTCTCCTTGAAGTTGCTGTTCCTTAACTGGCCCCTCCTCTTCGCCTACATGGACTTGTTTCTTTGTACTAGTGCAATTTGCTTTTGTTTTATTTGGGGTTCACTGTATGTTTGGGAATTGCCAAAGACTAATATTGTTAGAGCCCTTTGGCAAAACAAAAATATTTGACTAATTCATTTTTATTATTGGAAAAGTTTTAACCCTGAAAGTCCACATTCTGTCCTGGGATGGGCGTGTAGAAACTAACATTGTCTCTGCCATGTCATATGTGTTCTTTGCTTAGTCATTATGTTAGGTCTGTGTACCCTAAATCAACATATTACTCATCAATCATTAATACATCTAAATGTAGGAAGAGGTCTTAAACAATAGTGCATTCTTTCATCAAATATTTATTGAGTGCCTACTCTATGCTAGGTACTGTGCTAAATGGTATAAAAACCTATTTTTGTTTTGGGGGCCATTGCATTTTGGCTGGTTTATGCTGGCTTGACTAGGGCAAAGACAGCTTGAAAATGTTGAGCCCAATAGCTATTAATGATGGACAGCGTTTTAGGAACACTGTAGTGTAATTTTCGAGAGTATCTACTTCAAGAAGGCCTGGTCCTAAGAGGTAGAACTGTATGGCTGGGTAAAATGCCTCTCCATATGGTTTCTATTTGGAAAGAGATAACTGACATTTGAACAGTTCTTTCAGTTTGTTCAGATCACTTCTAATTGCTTCTAACAATAGCAAACAGAGTCATTCTTATTTTGAAAAAGTGACAGAAGCAGTCCTATAAGATGGTATTTCCCTGTATCTGGTAAACATCATATTTGATCCTAGATATGCTGATGTCTGCACAGTGTTGTTTTCAAATTTAAGAAAATATTTTAAACAGCTCATACAGTCAAGGGTGTGTGTTTCAGATAGTGGCAGGAGTTCTGTACAATGTGCAATAGACATTCAAGATCCTTTTCAAAAGTTTTATTTATAATAAACATTTGTGTGAGGGGAGATTGGACAGGGTTCATATTTTAGTCAAGGATGAAAATTAAATTTGTTAATTTGTAGGACTTTTTTCAAATTTCCAATGAGGATTCATTTTGGAAACTGCATTTTAAACTTTGGAATCAAATTGTTTCTTATTTGGGAGGATAATGTATATACATTGGTATGTTAAATAATAAAACTGTTCTAATTTGGTGCCATTTACTGAATCACAACTGTATTTTTGTATTTCAAGCTATTTTCTGATGTCATGTATTGTCACACAGAAAAACTTTACAATCCAAACATTATGTGTTCTCTGTGTAATTGAATTTCACTTATCTTTTATAAACCAGATACATTCATTGAAAATATTTTCTGGGGGTTTTCTTTTGATTTTGTACTTAAAAACAATTGCGTCCATAAAGCAATCTCAGAAGTTTTTGTGTTTTTTTGGTGCAGATAGAGGTTACAATCACTTGCTTTCAGTCATCTCCAACATGTTTCTAAAGTGGTAGATGGACAACTCCTGAAATAGGTGAGTAGAAATTTGGAATGAAGATATGTTTTTGAAGTGCTTTTAAACATATGTATGTAGCATTCTTATTGTTCAGTATACAAATAAGCATAAAAATTACACAATTCAAATTCTTTGAGAATTCAGTCTCCATTCCATCAGCTACCCATATGCTCATTTCTCATGTCCCTCAGCCCCAAAGTTAACCATCACTAATGCAACCTAAAGTTGCATTACTTTATGCATATGCTTGCATTACAAAACAAAAAACAGATTCTTCCTGATTTAGTAAACAAAAGCTAGCATATTATGGACAGTGCTTTTACTTTGCCTTTTTCACATATCAGGATGCCGTGAAGCGCTTCATTCTTTCACAGTGGCATAGCTTTCCCTCTACACATGGCCTCACCTGTATTTAAGCAAGTCCCTTACTGATCATCACTGGGTTGTTTCCTGAATGGAAGTTTAAGCCCAGGATGGAGAGGACCAATTTTCTATGCATCTACTTGTTAAATTTTTCCAAATACATTCTTTGCAGATTGTTTATTGTGATAATTAGCAAAAATAGCATTTGGCAACAATATATTCTCCAAAGTTGCTAACCGGCATAGAAGCCATCTAGTCTCACACTTCATGGTAGGTGTTCTTCAAAGATTTAAAAACACTCTACAGAGTTATTGTAGGTGAGAGTATTTTTGCCTGTACATTCATCACTTATAGACTGATCAGTGCATCTGTAATAATTTCTAGTCATGAAGTTCACTCTAGGTAGGTGACTTGACTTAATACAAGTGGCTTTCTGAGCTTTGGCAGGAAAGCTTTCTATGTGAAATTTGCCTCCCTAGAGTTGCCTATGCTAAGCTAACAGAAAGAGAGCATCCTTGAACCATATAATTGAAACTGAGTTCTTAGTGTTTTGAATGTATATAGTGATGCCTCTTTTCCCACAGGGAGAAAGCTAGAGATTCAGAAAAATGTACTTGCTAAGAGCAATTGTTTAGAGACTTTGAGCTTAGAAATAGAATATTAAACTCTATTCTAAATTCTGATGTAAGGTTTGACTGCCCCTCAGAGAAATTGAAACCATTTTCTTCTTGGGAGCCCTTCACATCTGCCATTGGGGATAGCAGTGTTAACTTGACCACTCTAGAAACAAGGGGCGAGCCGCCAGCCCCTAGGGATACTTGATAGGCCAAAATCAACCCTGGTTAAACCACTGGGAAAGCTTGTTTTTAAATACATATATATATACCATATTTTTTTCTATATACCATATTCTTTTTTTTTTTAGAGACATGTTTTATTTATTTATTTATTTTGTTTGTTTGTTTGTTTTGTTTATACATGCACTGGGTACAGTCAGAAGCGCGGGAGGGTGAGAGAATTCACCAGAGCCAGAGCGGGGAGCAGAGCAGGCAGAAGGACGAAAGTACACTGCTGAGGGGAGCAGTGGGCAGCAGGAGAGGTCTGCGCGCCATGTGGGATCCTCCTCCGGTGGCTGGGGAGCAGCCGGGGATCGAACCGGCACTGCAGAGGCTGCAGGCAGCTTTGCAACCCAGCGCTCAACCGCTGCGCCACCGGGGAGGCCCTATATACCATATTCTTGACCAACTGAATCAGAATTTCCAGCATAGAGTTTGAAAATAGATAATGTAAGGAAATCTCCATGTGACCAGACATATTAAAGTTTGAGAACTGAGAAAATATATTAGTTTCTCTCTACAGCTACACAGCAATGTATGATAATAAGTCTTCAGGCAGCAATTCTGATGCACACCAGATGAGAGGAGTCTAGAACTTATCGAGCTACACACGACGTTGTTGTCCAGAACTGCCAGTGCTGCCCACCAGTGCCCTGATACTTCCTTATCCTTGAGTTTCTGTCATTGCTGCAATGGAGATTAAAGCACAGTAGCATTCCAGAATTCTACAACTACACAACTTCTTCCCAGCCAGCACTTGGTTGTCCAGCCCTAGGTGTCACTTGTAGTCTAGACTAACAGATGTTCATGAAAAACTTGAACAGGTAATCAGAACCAAAAACCAGACCATAATTGTTGCCAAGTTTGCAGTATGGTTGATAGAGTTACTCTTGACTTCTACTAATAGTTACTAATAGACTGTATTTCACATTCTTAGAATAGTATCTTGGACCCAATAGTATCTTAGAATAGTATCTTAGAATAGTATCTTAGAATAGTATCTTGGACTCTAGATGTAAGACCTTCAGCTCCTATTTTAAATAATATCTTTGTTCATACCTCAGAGGTTATAGGTTTATAATGGCAAAGCACCAGGGCCAAGACTTCTGAGAACCATAGACACACCCTCAATATCAAGAATGTCACTGAAGTCTAAGGGAATAAACTTTTATTATGCCATTTCAATTAATAGGCTGATTGAGAACTCTCAAGTTCATGTAATTGAGTAAATTATGATAATTGGTGCATGGTTTTATATTCTTTTAGGCTAAATAGAATAGACAACAGCATTTTTTTTCTTATATGCTATTTTTCTTACAACAAGTAAGGTATTTAAGTCCTAAGATACTCAACCAATAAGCACTCTTTGTTAAATGGATATGTTGCTGGAGAAGGATTTAATAAAAATTCCTTGATGTGTCTATTCACTTCTTATCAGAATGCCTTGTAATCAGAACCTTTGTATTTAATGTGGGCATTGTTTTTCTATTAAAACTGCTTCCCTCAATGGGCCTCCCCTGGTGGCGCAGCGGTTGAGCGCTGGGCTGTGAGGCTGCAGCCTCTGCAGCACCGGTTCGTTCCCGGGGCCGCCGCCGAGGGCCCCACAAAAAAAAAAAAAAAAACAAACCAGCTTCCCTCAAATTCATTAAAACAATCAGGTACAGGGCAGGTAGAAGGGAAGAGAAGGATAGTTTTGCTCTTTTCCTCTGGGTAAGAAAAACAACTGTGAGGTTCATTGTCCAATTGAAGATTTAATGTGGAGGAGTTAATATATTAATTTTGGAGGAGCTTTTTGGGTCTCATTTAACATTTCATTATGTGCTCTTTCATTCTTGGCTTTTTTGTTAGCTAAGCCCCAGGAAGCCTGGCTTTGACAAGCTGGCACATGCGCTCATCAGCTTCTATTCCAATAGCAATTCACTAGAAAATTAATTGTTTTGACTTGGTTTCCTCCAAATTGTGGACTTGTTTGCCTCGTTCTCTTTGGTTTGAAGAGCATTTTCAAAATCTGGAGTTAATCACAGTATAACAGAAGCCACAATATCTTCCTCATTAACTTTTTTTCTACTGACATGGTGGCCAGATCCCCTCTGCTCAGATCCATAAAATTCAAAAAAGCTTAACTTTATAACTAAGGAAAACCATCTCAGCTTCTCAGTGTTTGAAGAGGAAACTGGAAACATAATCTAATTTCATATTCATCCAAAAGTCTGGCAATACAGAAACAGCTAATTATTGCACTTAATCTTTTCTTTGAGCTATTATTGACATATGACATTGTATTAGTTTTAGATACACAACAATGATTTATGTGCATGTGAGAGGATGACCACAATAAATTTAATTAACAAATTAGCTTGCATCATCTTGCATAGACATTTTCTTTAGATGAGAACTTTTAAGATCTACTTGCTTAGATCATTTTGCTTATTTTATTATAGTCTCCTAAACATTCCTTTCTTCTCTTTCTGCTTCCTCTTCTGCCTCTTCTTCCTACAATCCTCCTCCTCTCATTTACCTACTAATGGATCTAACATTCGCTAAAGCATTTTAAAATTACATCCATACGAGAAATGTACACAAACCAGAAAATACCTATTAAATAAATTTTCCAAAGTAACTAACACCCCAAAACACCCCAAAGACAGTACCAGAGGGCCTCTGCTCAGTTATAACCCCCCCAAAAAAAGTTTTTTTTCTAGTACCATATATTTATTTTGCCCATTTTTAAAACTTCATATAAATAGAATCATACAGTATATGTTCTTCCTCCTAGCTTTTTTTTTTAAAGATTTATTTATTTATGCATACAAGAACTGGGGTATAGGCCAGAGATGTCGGGGGTTGAGAGGATTCAACAGAGACAGAGTAGGGAACAGAACAGGCTGACTGACTGAAGTACATTGCTGAGGGGAGCAGCAGAGCAGACAGGAAAGGTCTGCTGTGCCATGTGCGTAGCTCCCTGGCCTACCGGGGATTGAACTCCTGCTGCAGAGGCTGTGGATAGCTTCATAGTGCTGTGCTTAACCCCTTGCTCCACCAGGGAGGCCTGCTTTTTCATTCAACATTGTAATTGTGGGATTCATTTTGTTGCATAAGCCTAGTTCTTAGCTGTATGACTGTATACAGCTGTATAACTCAGCCATGAACAATGAAGTTGTGCCAACTCCTCTGTGGTTAAAAAGACACATGGAACTTTGGACTCTCCAAAAACATGGACTGGACATCTTATCACTACATACACAGTCTATTAACACATATTCTCTGTGCTATGTGTTGTATATTGTATTCTTACAATAAAGTAAGCTTATCGTAGTAATACAATAAAACCTAAGAAAAAATGCTATTAAAATCATAAGGAAAAATACATTGAGTACTATACTGTACTTTTCCATACCACACATTTATGTCATCTGTTTACAAGACAATCTGTATGTAAGTGGATCCTTCCTGTTCAAATTCATGTCAGCTATACTTCCTGGAGGTAGAGTGCAATTTTGTAATTCATCTTACTTTTGCTAGACTTTTGGCTATGATGCACAGAGCTGCTACAGACATTGTTGTCAAAGTCGTTTGGTGAAATCTGCACCAGGCTTCCACTGGATGTGTACCTAGGAACAGTGCTGCTGGGTGATAGGGTAGGTTATATTCAGCTTTAATAAATGCCATCAGGCTGACTTGCAGAGAACTGTACCCACCAGCAGTATGC